ATTAAGCGCCCTGGGCGACCTGAGAGTGGGCGCTTATTCGAGTCTGGGCGCTTATTAAAATTTCATCATTTTCAGCAAGTGTTGTATGTAGAAGATGTAACAAGTCAAGTTTCTGTAAAATACTTAGATGAAAACTCCCTCTTCGGGGAAGTCGTTTATTAGTACTTATTCATTTTGTTGGGTGGGGGGAGAGGGGGGGGGGTTTTGGTTGTGGGCGCTTATTGAGTTAGAGTCAAGAAGGGGGAGGGGTGGGCGCTTATTCGAGGTTGGGCGCTTATTCGGATAAATACGGTATGTGGAAGGCCTTAAATAACATAGTTTGTCTTAAGATACCTGACCACATTTTTTATTGGAAGGGTTACTATATTAAAATCACCCATCTGTGAAGTTCATTCAACCCTCCGAATTATTAGGAAATACTAACAAGTTTAACGCGAGAGAACCCCGCTAAATACGTCACGGTTATAGCCAGACCTAACACTGGTCAAATAGGATCAGCAACTCACGGAGGATCGGGCAATGTGACCACCACAACTCAACATCCTAGCCGCGATGGCATTCAACAGCTTTACGGGCATTCAGAGTATCCCTCGGGATCGGGTTCTTATCCTTCACAACCCGCTGGACATGTGACTTATCCAAAGGAAGCAGCTTATCCTTCATCTTTTCGGTACTCCTATAATTCTTCACAGAATGGTCGACAGGCACCATGCCTAACAGCGACACCACCACACCCATCTTTTGAAAGTTTCGTTGGCCAAAAAAACGTTGCTGCCAGTGCCCCCCCGGAGACGCAAGTGTATTGAAAGAGATGAAGGAATTTGCGCCTTGTTTTCCTTGTTTTGTAGTATATAATGCCAAAGCTTGTGATAAGAGAGGATTTTTGTGATAAATATTGAATTTACTAGACTGCAAAACAGTCGGTTTTTTTCTCAAAATCAGTAAAGAAATCGGTAAAGCGTGGCGTAAGAGGCTTACGCGCGCGAAGCGCGCGAGCCTCACACGCCCGTAGGGCGTGTGAGGCGAGAGAAACTAAACGGATTTTTAGAGTCTCTCCCCAGTCTCGCTCTCTGTTTTCAGCTTCGTTCCAGACCTTTTGTTTGACTGCTCGCGCGTACTTGAATACGCAAAAATATGGACTGTTTTGCAGTCTATGAATTTACTTGTGAACGCATAAACGTGCGGCCCCAGTTTGCTTCCTGATGATATACGTATCAATGGACATTTCCGCGCATGAGCTTTAGCGCGGAAGTAAAAAAGAAGGCAAAAACGGGGGGAAGGGGAGGGGAGGAAGGTGACACTCTGCTCCTGATAAAAGATTCATAGACAAAACCGCACTTGCCCGTAGTTGGAATAGAGTATTCGCTGGGTTACTTTCAAATATAACCTATACATCCATATTTATGTGCCACCGCGTTGGATATATTTTTACAATGATAACTAATTCAGATCGCGAGTCAATACAGTTTGTGAGCTCAAGAATTTAGAGAAGGTCAGTAACTCTCCCAGTCATGGTCTGTGATTGGAGAACGAAACAATAAATGATTCAACACAAACAATACCCCTAGGCCTACTGAAAACCGAAGCTACTGGTTATTTAGGCCAATGAAAGTAGAGGTCTGGAAAAGCTAGAATTCACTGTTAGGTGATTTTTGGAAAAGTACTACTTTACACAAGGGCAGTGGAAAAACCTAAGAACTTAATTTACGTCTGTAAATAGAAAGATGGATTTCTAATAATTCATCCGGCGTGCGGAGTTACAAGAATCTCGCGACAACATATATTGGCACAGAATTGGAAGGTTGAGTGAATTTAAAATGAAACAAAAACAGTCAAAAAGGGTATACACATTATATCTACGTAGTCTGCTAAGAAACTTGAATTTCTGGTTTTGCCTGTTTTCACTTTCGCTCTATAGTAATTAAAATAATTATTAAAAAAAACCTCCAAAAATTTAACTGTGCCAGCAGTGAAAACCAGCCTTTATAAAATTCTGAATCAATCTCGGTAAGAAATAAATAAATTATATAGAAAAAATAGAATTTATTTAACAGGTTCTATTCACTCTTCTGTTTTCGGCCTGAAGCAAGAGTGGTGTCGTAGCCAGGAGATAAATCTGGTCACTCTTTGTTTCTGCAAAGATAAAGTATATAACCAAAGGAGATTGTTAAGTACGAAAATACACAGTTAATACGTTATCTTTAAGAACGACGAAGAGCTACGCCACACTGATTAGGTGCTCTTTTGGTCCGAGAAAACAGCATTTTACTTCTTTTACCGATATACCACAACATGCCATGTTTAGTCACGGAGTCTTTCTCTCGCAGCACTGAGTGGCCATGACATGACATGGAGGATAGTAAGAGACTGAACATAGGCACAATAACTAAATGTCGCCTCCACCGAGAACAAAACCTCACTTACACGAGAAAAACTTGCTTTTATATCTGAATATCACTTAAAGGACGATATTTGCTTTGTAATGGTTGTGGAGATGACACGCATCTGCTCAAAAAACCTGTCCCACCAGGGGCGTAGCCAGGATTTTTCAAAGGGGGGGTCACAGACAGGGACACCATCCGAGGATCGCCGACTATATATGGTTTATACCGCTGCTCTCAAACAGTCGTATTATCGCGGCATGAAGGCCCATATTAGCTAAAGACAAGAGCCGTTGACGAAAATACTTTACAATAAAACAGATTTTCAACAATGGCTTTTACGGCCAAGATATTGTGATATTGTAGGTTGTTTGCTCAAAAAAAGGCCTACCAAGGGGGGGTCACGGGCACCCCAGGACCCCCCTAGCTACGCCCCTGCTCACCCCCCACTGATTGATCAGTAAACTGAGGGCATTTATACACATTCGTGAAACAGGATATCATTACCACACTCCCAGGATTTTCATAAGTTTATCTAGTGCAACCATTTTAGGCCAATTCAATTTCGCAGAGTATCTGTAAGTTTTAAGCCAACTCACCGAAGTCTTTGGTTTTTTCTCTCCAGTTCGTCCTCTTTCCTCTTTACGAGTTAAAACTTCCTTTTCCCCATCGCAGCAGTCTACAGATTGACGGTTGTTCGCGAGGGAGAGCCGATGCTCGGAAGAAGCAGTGGTCGGCTGGCAAAGTCCACCTTTTGGTTCGTCCCTTCGTCTCTCGTGTTTCTCTTTAATTTTCAGAGGCGAAGATTCAAACGCCTTGTTGCAAGAGGTGATGTTGGTGAGCGTGGTGGCATTGGAACGATTAATCTGCGGCATCCGAGGTGCACAGTCGGCTCCTTTTACAGCCAGTGTTGCTGCATTTACCCATTCTGGTGCGCAAATGGCGAGTTGCTGTACGTGGTTGCCCGGTCTTGTGGGCACTTCACTGTAGACAGCTGATAATTGAGCAACCCCAGGAACTTCAGGGATAGACCTGCTGCTGGTGTTATTAATAAGCGGCGACAGGAACTCGATTGGGTTTTGGCCTTGGGAGGGAGCAAGTCTTATCACGAAAGCTGTTTTGGGACAGACGATGGTACTTGGGACTAGCTCGATGACACTCTGCGCTATCAGGCTTGTTCGGAAATCCGTTTTCTTCACCACGTTCAGAGCGGCAGTTATTTTGTTGGCGCCGTCTAAAACAGTTCTGGCTCTTTCTGAATTAGGCGGTTTTGGTGACACCAGAACTGCCTGTGTTACGCTATAACTGTGAGGCAGCACTGCAACCGTCTTTCTTTGCATTGGTCGATTATTAGCGTCGAGTTCTGTGATGGTCGCTCCTCTAGACGATGGTCCGGGCCACTGGAAGTACTTTAGCAGTTCAAAGTACCCCCAGTAATAATATCTAAGGTGCTGATACATCCACTCGCCCACGCTGTAGCCCAAATCGAGTTCCTGTTTTACTCGGTCAAGTTCTTGTTTCCTCTGCTGAAGCTCCTGGGTGCTCTGATCAAGCTTATCCAACAGTGAAGTGCAATGGGCTTTGATCTTGAGATTTCTTGTCTTCACATCGTTTAGTTCCCTAACTGCGTTCTTATGCCTCCACTTGATGTCCTGTTGCGATTCCTTTAGATGCGCTAACTCTTTCTTCAATTTATTTTCTTTTAACTTTCTCGACGTTTCGAGATCCTTGAAGTTCTTTTGAGATTTTTCCAACTCCTCTCTCTGGATATGATTATCCTCTTCCAGCCACTGTCGCTCTGATTGCAGGTTGTTAATCACTGCAGCGTGTTGCGCTATGGTAGCTGCTTGTTGGTTCGCAATTGCTACAAGCTGCTCATAGCTGTACACATACATCTGTGCCATCCTTAACCGACGGAATCTTTTAAATGCACAAAAAAATCTTTTCTCAGAAAAAAAAATCACTTCACCGCTCTATATAATCTTCCGTTAAATTTCAGTCACGTTCTTCTTCTTCCAAAAGTGAGGTTTTAAAATTTAGTGATGTCATAAACAATTACCCTTACGTGTAATTTTATTTTGCGCGCGCACTAGCACGCACGGGCTTTTGTAGAGCTGCGATACTAATGGTCGGCACCAGAACTCTCCCCACTGCGTCTCGCCTTTCTCGCGTGGGGTGATTTTCACACGCGCTGGCGTTTCGCCTGCTCTACTAACCCTGAGGACAAATGGGGGGACTACTCGTAGTCTAGATTGGCGCTAACCGGGGTTAAATTTTATTCGGGTTTCATATCATCTTGTTTTCTCGGAAATTTTCTCTGCTCTTTTCAGAGCATCCAATCATCAAACTGTAGACAAAAAGAATTAAACTGAATTTGCTTTTTAAGCTTCCATGTCTGAATTAAAATTTCGCAGTTACCTGACTTATCCATGCTTGAACAACCCGGCTCAGAAAACATTTTGGTCCAGTTCGTTAGCAGAATTGCAGAAATGCTATTTGTAATAATTTCAAAGGGACAAATTGGAAACTTTACATGATCGATAAGTATGGTATGGTAGGATCGTTTAAAATGAATGAGAAAAAATTCATTGAAAATTTAATAAGCGCACACTCTTGAGGTCCAAGAATTTAATAAGCGCCCAGGGCGGTTAATAGAATATATACGGTAGCATGATAAGTTTTTTCTAGTCAACAAGGCTGGCGATAAGGCTGAAATGTATTTAGAAAATAATATTTACACTAATCGTACTGAATGATCACGGCTTTTTTTATTAGCGACAAATTTCTCATTCAGATGAAAACTTTTGTCTCTAAGAAATAGAATTCCCCTCAATTTGCAAAATGAAAGGCTAATTTCCACAAGTTGAATTCTTAGGGACCGTGTCCAAGTTCAGAATGGTAAAGGAAAATTCGTCGTCGTATAGTCACGACCTCCGTAACACGGCGCATCACGAAATTCCCGTCGAAGTCGTTCAGTGACCGTAAGGAAATGTATCAAAAAGCGTTTTGCTATTACTCTTTCTTACGTTCACCGTCGCTGTTGCTTAAGTTATTATTTGTCACAATATACGTTGCGCGCAGTCGTTTAACCTGCGTGGTTGAGGTCCAAAAGGAAGAAATTCGCGCGAGTGCTCAAAAAGTTCTGGTCCAGACATTGCTATGAACGACCTATGTGACAGCAAACTTGGAGTACCGCAAATTTTCGGGAAATCAAATTCTAATGCTATCACATAGTTGCACCGGGTCTATTCTTCAGCTGGTCTCTTTTCTTCCGCTGTTCTTTCTTGACTTTTCTGTGCATCTGTGCACTGAAGATCTCCTGGTTGAATTTTACCCTTTTAGGTTTAAAATCGGGATCCACGTAAGCTTTCTGCCCAGGGATACCAAGATTGTCGTTCAGTTGGTCGGCCTGTGCATCATCATGAAACATTTCCATGTTTGCTTTTATTCTGGGGTTGAATTCATAAGTGGGTTCCAGTGGTGCTTCCCCGAGCGCTTTCTGTCTTTGGTGTTTCATCTTCTCCGCGTGCTTTATGTAAGCGACCTCTTGAGAGTTCTTGTAGCCTGCAATATAAAAGGCAGGATTTAAAGAACATCCCCCTGAGAAATACCCTAAAATTCCGAAAATAAGCCCCTCCATGTATAAGCCCCTCCAAATATAAGCCCCCCAAACCGGTAACGCAAAAAACCCTCCGTTAAATCGCCCCTCCAAATATAAGCCCCCCAGGGGCTTGTACTTGGAAAATTGCCCTCAAATACAAAGTAGAACAAAGAAAAAATAGTATATTTACTTCCAAGTTTTAGGCTAGCTCTATCGAGTTTGAAACGCAAATTTCCCTCCGTAGATAAGCCCCTCCAAAAATAAGCCCCTCAAAAAGGGCCTTTGAAAAATATAAGCCCCGGGGCTAATTTTCGGAATTTTACGGTATCAGCCTGAGAAAACAGCCGACATTTAGCCTCGCCACCACTGGTTTCCCCGCGAAATGACGTCTGAGAAACGAGTGCAGAAATTCCATACTGATGACGTGTCACTACCCAGATCTGGGTAGTGCTTCTGATTGGTTGAAAATTTGCTTCATCTTTCCTCTTCATTAGAGGAAAGATGCAATTTTACAACATAGACTACATTATATATTAACATACAGGAAAAAAAAAGGAGAATACAACTTAAATTACATCCAAAAATTACTTACAAAATAGGAGGGTAAGGATGATGACATATTTTAACTAAAATATTTTGATAAAAGTTCACATTTAAGGGAAAATTTAAAATTAGCTAGACTAGTCATGGTAGTTGAATGTTTGCTTAGAGAGTTCCAAGGATGAAAGAGTAACTGTGCCATGTCATTTTCAATATTCACAAGTCACTTTTTTTGCAGCCTCGATTATGCATTTGTCCCCATTAATGTGTAAATTAACTCCATGATTTACTACCTGTGGTAAATTCCATGCGTTCCCACGGTTTCTTCCCTTAAAGCCCTGGGAGCAAGGCAGGCAACATACCTGCTTTCATGTTGTCCCAAAAACCACCAGGATCTTGTGAACTTGGATGGGTTATCATCTCTGGAATTCCCATTGCTTTCCTTGCTGCTGGATGTTTAAGCAATGCAACTTGCCCAATAGTAAAAAGGTTGGAAGACACCCAGTAGGAAAAGATGGCCTGTGAAACAAAAACAAAAAAACAATATTAGTCAGTTTTTTAAACTTTTATCAGGCCAATGGGAACAAAAATGAAAGTGAGAGGGCACAACAGTGAGCTGGTGGCCTACTGAAGTGTAAAGGGTCGCAGGACCATTCCTGTAACAGGGTCTGTAGGTATCCTTCCCCACAAAATGACGTCTTCTTAAATAATTATTAAATTTTCCTCCAAAAAAGTGGGGGGGGGAGGCATGGGCCCACCAGTCCCCCCCACCCACACACACACTATTCCCATGGCAATAGCTATGAATAGTGAGCACCAGATGGGAAACAGAGCAGCACCCTGAGGAAATTGACACACCCCACCCACATGCAGGTGTAAATATCAATAATTAATCCTGAAATTAGCAATTTTAGTTTTAGTTTTAGTCCTTTGTGTGCAAGTTTCACAAAAATCTAGATTATTTAACCCTGTTCTATAAAATATGCAGAGTTCAAAGAAACAGGTCTAGGGCCAGTTATCCTCTCACCATGAGCCCCCACTGTGGCATAAGTGTTAGACAACACCCAGAGATGGATTTAGAAGATTCAGAAAGAGTGGGCCAGAAGGCTTGCCAGCTGTATATATACTAAATGTATTCAGTCATAAAATAAAGAACTTTGAGACATTTCTGTCCAAAGACTAAGGCTCTGAAGGAAATTTTTACCAAGGGGAATGCAGCCCACTCGGCCCCACCCTCTGCAACCCGTAAAAAAGACTTACTGTAGGAAACTGTGCAGTGAGAGGAATCATTGCCACTGCTAAGATGCGCATGATGGTCTTCATTGTTTTCATTGCCGGGTTATGGACTCCCATCTCAGTACCAAGCTGAAAATCAGACAACAGGCACAACTTATCAATAACATTATTCGTAAAATATTATTTATACAGATGACTTACATGGTGTTTTTGTTTCAGGCCAAGAAAGAATTTCCTCAGAAGTAGTACATACTTACATTAATACACCAGTTTTGGTTAGTGCATTACAGAAAAAAAAGGAAATTTAACCAATAAGATAAAAATGATGATAAAATGCCATGGTTTTTAAATGTTGATGTTTGTTATGATTAGAGTTTTTATCAATGCAGTCAAACTCTGTTAATAAGGGCACTGAGGAGGCCATAGAAAGTGTCCATATTAACGGAGTGTCTTAATTATCAAGCGAGTTGAATTTAGAGAAAATGTAACGGCTTTCTTTACCCAGGGACAAAGCAAACTGTCCGTGATAATGAGGCATCTGTATTAAGTAGGTGTCCCTAAATTTGGCTGTAGAAGTGTGAGTCAGGACCAGAAAAGCGTTCGTAAACTTGTATGTGATAGTGAGACTCCAAAGTAACAGTAATTTATTTCACTCAAATGTCAGTATTTTTCCAAAAAAAATAGAGCTGCTGCGGGTTTTATTGGGAGTTCTATAATGGTATGAGTTCATAAGAGCTGCAGTTTGTTCCAACAAAAGGTTTACAGGGTTAGGTTAAGATTGTTTAGCTTGCCGCTTGCAGCTGGGGAAATATTCTACCACAGTTTGAGTTTTAAGTTTAGTAAATTTTTGTCTACCAGGCCATAAATACTAAAGGTACTTTCTTACCTCTATTGATGCCAGCATTGAGAAGCTGCAAATAACAGGTAATACAAAATATGGGTCAAATGCTGTCAAATCTTGGAACCAAAGATAACCCCCTGTCTTGAAAGACTCCACTGGCAAATAAGCCATCTTTCTTAAAGCCAAAAAGAATGAAACAAACAGTGGTATCTGAACAAGGGGAGCCAGAATACTCTGAAAGACAAAAAATGATTTCCTCATGAGATATGCACACTGAAAATATGGTCAACAGTTACTGGTTATCATGTACCAGAGTGTATGTGCCACACTGGTCTAGCCTGAAAATGGCTGTATCTTTTAGGTCAGCATTACAGAAATGCACCCATTGAAAAACATTGATTGTGAAAGTGTAAATGAGTGGAAAATGACGTAGAAAGACTGTCAATCAAGAAACCCCCTGTGTATGTCCCTTTACTGGTTATTGTTCTTGCTCAGACACTCACCACTCTTCGCTATTCTTTGAAAAGGAATAGCACTCCACATGACTAACAATAGTGTGGTCTATTAAAAAACCGTCTGCTTTTACCTTACTCTGATTTGGTGTGTGACTATTTGCTTACCTACTATTTGCGAACCTACTCCTTTTGTTTCTGCATTGTCTTTTAAAAGTGTGAGAATTATTAGTCAGTTTTAAGTTTATAAGAGACTGAAAACAGCAGTAACCTTTGCAACATCATTTTTGCTTACAAAGCCTAATGGGTACCCCACTGCATTTCTGTAATGGTCTGCAACAGGGCAGAAAATATTGCATATGAATGATATTATGGCGTGAAAAAGGAAGAGTTTTCAAGAAGAAGTTTTCAACGATTAATTAACACATGCCAAGTTAATAACATAGTTATTACATCAAATACCTTAACTGGATGACAGCCATGTTCCTGGTAGAGCTGTTTCAACCTTAAACTAGCAGTTGCCTTAGCTGCGGCATCATACGAATTTGCCAGCTCTCTAAGCTGCGCTTGTACCTCTTCAATTTGCGGCTTGATATTGTTCAATTTGGCTGTGTTTGCTTGTGCCTTGACAATAAGCGGCAGGCAAACGAGACGTATGATAACTGTAAGAATAGCTATAGAAGCACACCATGATACATTGCCACCGACGTGAATAAACTCCAGTGTTTGCTGAATAAGCCCTGTGGGTGAGTAGCCACCTAAGCCTAAACTCACAAGGCTTGGTTCACCAAGAGATGTCATGGCATCTGCCATGTCTTTGAGCATTTCATTGTCCAATAGAGTTTCTGGTGCACTTTGTTGAATGAATGGGTTTGAACTCTGTCCATTTTCCAAGAGTTCTGAGCTGCCTAATAGAGAAAAAGACCCACATATTTTGGTGGTAGAACTTTTTGCGGATTGGCCATCGACAGATATCAAAAGGAAAGCAGAATCTTGGACCGTTACAATCTTGTGAAAATCACACCAATGGTGTTGTAATCAGAGATTGCTTCTCTTCTTAATATTTGGCCCCAGGGCTGTTCTCCAGCAGCAACCGGTGGCCCCTGGTGCCTTACTTTTGCTCTCGGGTCACTAGGAAATCTTAGCTTTTTTATACCAGTTTTACTAAGTGCACAGCCTTAGACCCTTGTTGTTGATAACTGAAGTAATCTTGTGAAGGTTGTTGGAGTTGCTAACAGTAGCCAAGAAAAAAAAACAATCACAGTTTGTAGGACTGTGCATTGTGAATGTTTTAGTCATCTTCTTCTCCCTGGGACCCCAAAAATCTGATTTTCACCAGATGGCAAGCAACATGAGTCATAATTCCACTGAGCAGGTAATTCTGTTCACAATTCTTTTTGCCAGGTCATAACTGCTCTTAGAACTCTGACTCCACCTTTTGTTGCTGGTGATACCAGTCTTTAAAGATTAATGAATTCTAAAATAATGTATTTATTGATTAAATAAATTAACACTTTATTATTAAGCTTGTATGAGATGTCTAATTACCGGAAGAACTTTGTCCTGACAAACACCTTGCAACCTGTAAGTTCCAAGAGAAGCTTCCATAACTGACGCCTTTACAACTGTAAGATCCTGGGGATTTCGCTAAAGTGGTACCGGTTCGCTTTGTCAGGCCTTCTGTGACGTAATTTCGCACTGAAATCTCTTGGCTCCAAGGAGAAAATACCTGACAAATTGTAAGCAAGATCAACTACCTAGACTGAACAAAAAAATGGGATTACACATCCTGTAATTCGGAAATTGTCTTTACCTTCTTGTTTGTCGTCGTTGAAATTCGCCAAGGCTTAAAACAACTCGATGTTCTATGAAACTTTGAACAGATTCCCACACGTGCAAAGAAGGCGGCCATGTTTTTTCCCTTGACATGGCTTCAAGTATGCAGAAAGGTAATGTCCTCAAACAAGAACAGGCTACCCAGGGTTTAATATCGTACCGTGGGATATCTGAGTATGAGATTGCACAGGTTTCTTTATTTCGGTTACGTTCATCTTTTGATAAAGTTTAAATAGAAAATTGTAAAGTTTTCAAGTTAACTCTCATGGATCAAGAAAAACCTTTCAAGGTCTGAAAACTTTGTGAAAGTTCCAGATTTCATGCCTAGGTAGGTCATATATGATTTACTTTTATAAAGAGGGCTATCCCCTGTATCTCCCCGTTTCTCATTCATTTTCCTCGTGTTGTTTTGGCAGCATGAAAACGGTAAGATTCAAATTTTCAAATTTCCGGGTGATAAGGGGATTTGTTTGAACTTGCCCGCGCCGCGTCTTCCCAGCGTTGCTAGCGATGACAAAAGAGCCATTGGTTGACTGTGTTTTCTGTTGCTGGGTGACGTCATGAGTGAAAAATCACGCCGCCGGGTTTCAAACAGTTCGTTTCCCGTGTGTTTCCTGTTGGGTAAACTATGTCGCGAGGAGGGGATCGAAGTGAGAAAAGCTATTCAAGAAGTTATTAGCACTAATCGTTACTTTGAAAGGGCTACCGGCATATTTTAGATTGATTTTCAAGAACGATCGTGGTAGTAAAATCACTGGTAAACGGAGACAGCGCTTAAAAATCTAAAATGCTTTCTACACGGGATCGATCGAAGGTAAGCTGTTGTTCATTAGGTTTCATGTTGTGAAAGCCGTGAAAGTTTTCATTCCAAGAAGGAATCGCAATTTTTCAACATTGCTACCCCGTAGATTAATGAATGTGTCACTATATGCTTATGCTTAAATTCATATCGTTTGTTTTCTGTGTCTTTGCCGTAGACCTCACCATCGCATACCGCATTCAAAATGCCGATGGCATTCAACCCCGATTTGGCTCACAAACCATCCCCATCAAGGAAGGAATTGTGGAAAGAGGAACTGGGATTAGATGGTATTTATGCTTTCTGTAATTTCGTGCTTACACTAAAACTGCAGAAATGCGTTCGTAAAACTTTAGGCATTTCATTGAGTATGTAGTGTTTTGACAACAATACACCGATGTGATTGTTTTCTGTTGTTTTGAAAGAGACATCTGCATGCCTCGACTCGTGTCTTTGGAATCCGTTGGAATGCAATACATTATCTTACTCTTAACGTTTTTATTCCTTTTTCTAAGATGATTCTGGTCCTGAAGAGGAACAGTCGTCTTCAAGTGGCGACGAGCAGACAGAACCAGAAGCCGATCAGGTTTCTAATAAAGGTAAGTTTGCGAAAAAACTGATGCTGAAGTTGACGAGTGAGCGTTTTCTTGAAAGTTATTCATGGAACACAGTTTCAGTGCAACCTGTTGCATTTATCAAAACTATCAATTATCTAAGTGGGGTGTTATTATTCAAGTAGCTTATTAGTCGTCTTCTGGGCAAATATCGTCAACATTTCCCTCAGCGTACAATATTAAAAATTAATTTCTTTCATGTGTGAAAGGAATGTTGTTATGCCTTATGTCATAATGTCATAAATGCATTTCTGCACTACATGATCGAACAAGTTTATTAAACTGAACAAATTTTCTCTTCAAGAAGGGTAGAAAGTAAAACCCAAGATTCAATACTAGATGTCTTAAAAAGTGAATAGAAAAATAAAAATCCCACCAAACAATTACCTCTTAAGACTTTATGACATTACTGACCAGCATTGTTCCCAAAGTGAATGGTGCATTCTTTTCGAAAACAATAGGGCCGTTTATACGAAAGACAATAAGCCGCGGCTTACTATAGCCATGGCTTACATAAGACGTGAACACCCTGTATCAGGGACCGCGCAGCAAGTTTTCGAGTGGGGGGGCTAAAGAAGAATGCGTGAAGGAAAATTTTGGGGGGGGGGCATGCTTGTGGATTTCTATTCAATTTCTCTAAAGTGACGGAGAATGCGAATAACGATAAAACTATTGATTTTTTTCCACATCTTCAGTGATGTTGCTATCGGGTCTGAAAATTCATCATCACTAAATTGAAAGATCATAGATTGCCGGATGTTATACTACTGATATCAACCTGTAATTACTATAAATAAGCCAGAAATCCAACTATTTTGCTTAAGCTGCCTTGAACTCAAGGCTGTATAATTACTGAGCAATTATTACACGAGGCTGAGTATGATATGAAGAGTTATGCAGATCGAGGGGTTATCCGCCAAAGCCGAAGGCTTGAGCCCGTGGCTAACACCCTCCGAGATCTGTATATCTTCATATATCATACGAAAGACGTTCAATACTGATTGTTTAATTATTCATTCAAAATATTTACACGGCAAAACAAAACGGTAACTGGAAATAATTTAGTGAATGAAAATTCAATTATAGAACAGATTCAGAAAAAAGTAGCAAAAATTATGCAGAGTTTACTCACCAGATAAAGAAGGTTTTCCATTTTGTTTGGAAAAGTAATCAGAAATTTTAAGAGATCTCTTCTTTGCATTACTAGTGGTATGTGAAGTCTCGTCGTTCGTATTTATGTTGCCGTGTACCATGTGCACTTCTTTGTTCGTAATAACTGCCGGATTGAATGTTCCTTGATGACCAGAGCTATAGTAATACACAATTCTGCGGTTTAAGTAGTTTCGATGACAAAATGTTTTTATAAACAGACCGCGTTCAACAAAACTTGCAATTGGAATGCTCAACGAGCCGTGAAGCCTGACATCAATAGACGGACTTCGCGCTGATCGAGCTAAAATCAGGACGCACAATAACAAGAGAAACAATAACTTCATGATCTTCCAAAAATCAAGGTTGAAACTAATAAACAATTTGTTTGAGAATCGCCTTATAAACTAAACCCAGTTATTACTTTGGATTGAAATTGACCAACTACGAAACAACGCGTTTTCCTGAGAGGTCTGCAGGAAAAAGAAGCCATTTAAAAGACGTTTACCTCTGCTAGGTTAGAAGCGAAAAAATATTTTACAATTGTAACGACTTATGCTTCATTCTGTCTATTTATCTGCGCGTTTGTCTTTGCCAGTAACTCTGGTCACTTTCGAATTAACGATTTTTTGCTATTTTTTTTAATTTAAATGGTACAAAATCTATGTTCACGGCTTATTCAACCCCAGGCCAGCTCAAGCCGCGGCTTATACTGGCCGAGGGGTTTTGAGATGGGCTTATCCAAGCCGTGACTTACCTTGGACGTGAAAGTGTTTGTATAAATGCACTCAAACGTTGTCCGTGGCTTGCTGAAGCCTCCTCACCATCCAATAAATTATTGTTTAGGGAAAACCAATGTACAAAAAACTTACTTTATAGATGCCAACCTCTGGAAAACTCTGAAATTTCTTGAGAGTTTCTCTTTTCAGGGGTATGCAGCCACTGTTTATGAAAAATATCTGTTCAGAGAATCAAATTATTGCCTAGAATGTTCTATTACTATGGATGGCTACAAATTTCTAGATGACCTTTCCATTCATGCACAATTTTCAAAGCTCATCTAATAAATTCCTTATGATTTTCTGAAGTTTAATTTTACCATTTCACTCCCCAGGTTAGGCTATTTTTCATAGAAAAAGGAAACCTAAAATTTTCGGATTAAAAAATGTGATGGAGAGAGGGATCAGAAAAATTCTCACTTTCGTAATATGTTAAATTGCATCTAAAAATTTGCCGGAAATAATGCTGAAGCCCTTGTACTTTCGAAAAGACTCAAGTTTCCTTAGGAGGACGAAAATTTTATAATGCTGCTTAGAATGTATATCTAGAGATGTAAATAGTACTCTGGATAGCGTAAAAAGTGTTTTCAATATATGTAGGAGGAAACCCTCATTGGGTCCCCGTCTTTTGCACTGCCCACACCTAATGAAATGAAATTCCAAGTAGTCTCAAGATCATTTTAGACATGGTTAAATGTTGATCTCAAAAGCAATTTTAAAAAAAATTGGTTGTGGCTCCAGTTATTCAAAACCTGGATAGCACTTTCCAGTGGATATGTTGTGGTGCAATTTTATCCTTGGATGGTTTAATTTTTTTTTTTGTTTGTTTCAAACTCATTATCATACTTACCATACCCCGAAACAAAAGAAAATAAAATTTAAATCAAGGATAAAATTGAACCACAACAGATACACTATCCACTTTTTAAAGAATTGGGCCTTGGGGGAGGGGGGTATCCCCTTATATAGGCCATATAGGTATGTGCTGCCCCAAAGGGTAGGGTTTTTGCGCCGTTTGGTCTGAAAACGAGTATAGTCTTTGCCCATTTTGGTCTGGAGTCAGGTATGGTTGTTGAGGGAACTACGGGGGTGTGTGAACATATTTATTGTTTCAATTCCAAATGAGTAAGAAAGAAACAGAAATACGTGAATTCAAAATGGTTAAAAGAAATCTTTCTTGATGCAGTTCTAATCTAAGTAATGATGGCATAATTTCTTAGAGGCCAGGTGTTGAAATGGGTGTGAAAAATGACAGGTTTTGGTCTGAAATAGGGTCAGGATTTGGAGAACGGGAGGGCATAGCCCCACCAAGAAGAATTCCCAGGAGTACCCCCTTCCCCCTCTAGGCCTAAGGCCAATATTCCAGCTGAGGTTTTTTGTTTGTGTTATTCAATGATTACCTTTCACACCAATCTTATCCCTTGTGTCTTAAGTTGGGACTACTCCCGACTGCTAATAAGCAATTGACTGGTACATTTTCATAAATAAACTCTCTGTGTTGGTGTTGTTAGGGACATCCGTTGAGTTTCAAGCTTTGCTGGCTGAGATTAAGCAGAAAGATCAACAGCGTGAGGAACTGCTAATGAAGCTAAAGGTCTGTTAACATGTAACAGTGACTGTGACAGCAGGGTGCAAAGAAAGTCAGTTTTACAGCCTGCCATTCGGGCAAGTGTAGCTAGCATGTACTAGCCCACAAGTTATTTCAACTAGCCCCAAAACCCTTTTTGATTAGCAGGATTGATTACAATCCTTCAGTAATTTGAATTTCCCCTCAAAGCAGCACTTGCCTGTCGGGCAAATTAAGAACAGTATTCACTAGCCCGAAAGCAAAATCCACTAGCCCCGGGCTATTGGACACGACTTTCTTTGCACGCTGCTGTGGGGCGATGGAGAGCAAGCTTCACCATCTAATCAACCCACTTTTCATTTCTGATACTTATTCATTCTTTATTCCCAATCAAGTTTGGTATGGAATGTGCAGGGTACATTAATATTTATATTGATCTACCTTGTAGGTCAAGACTCATTTTGCCAAAATATAAAGTGTTTATTCTCTGAGCAAACCATCCTGGGCCCCCTACCCTTAAGCAAAGGAAGCAAAGATTGCATTTTATGGATTACAACTTTTAATTCTAATAAAATTTTGCCTAAGAACAGATTTATATTCTCATGCACTGTTATCAATATTCCAACCAAATGAAGATTATTAGCTCTTTAATAGGGTAACGTTCTATTTCAGTGGTTGGCACATCAAAACGTTTTTTACAAACACGAACTATTGCAGTATGTGTCCTAATATTTTTAACAGCTGATGGCCAGAAATTAATTTTTGAATCATTGCACAAATAAGGATGAGGACATGATATGATGTCAGTGATAAGTGTTGATGAAGTCTACCGTCTTGAATCTGACAATGTATGTTTCAGAAGAAAAAAAACATTTAATACACAAGTCCTTCTGAAAATTGAATTTCCCGGTTGGGGTGCCAGGAAAAGAAAAGCCAGAAACGATTTCTGATGAACCATAAGACTTCAGTCTTAGATTCTTCTTGGAACAAAGGAAGAAAATGACATGTGGTCATGAGTCGCTTAGAGCTTTTTTCATGCAGCCCTTCAGTGATGATAGTGGATTTACAAGGGAGCTTCACCTCATTCTATGAATACATCAAGGCACATACTTTTCCACTTACAATAACTGTGCAAATTTATTTTTCTTCAGGCAATGACAGACAAAACTGCCAGCTACAAGTCTAAGCTTCAAAAGGCAGAAAGCAACAAAAAATCTCAGATAAAGATCTTGAAAAAGACCCACGAATCACAACTGGTGATGAAGGCTGAACTTATACATAACTTAGAGGAACTAATTGAAGAACAAGAAAGTAAAATTGAAGAACTCGAAGGACACATCAAAGGCACAATTCCTTCACAGTCCCTGAATGTCACAAATGCAAAGCTCTCAAGCATCAGGAAACTAGTTGACTCAATAAATGACTTGCATAGCGAGAAGAGTAGGATACATGAAACCTGGCTGTCTACCCAGTCAGAGCTAGAAACAGTCAAACAGGAGCACAAGGAGACACTCGATAATCTATCTGATAATATTTCGGACCTCGAAACCAAACTACGCAAGGCACAGGCAGAAAATATCAAGTTGCAGAGCTCTGGATCAAGTAATGTAAGTTTTCACTCTTCATTTTTGAAAAGGTTTCTATTGATAACTACTCGGAGAGTAGCCCGCGTAGCAAACGTTTCCGCAATGTTTCGGAGCAAAGATAGACCAAGGAACGACAAGGGACAGGATTCGCCTGTGAAAAATCAAGCTAGAGCCAAAAAATGAAAGATGGGGAGGGGACCCCCTCTCCGCTTTTTACCTCGCTCCATTTTTTGCGCAGTCTTTGACGCTCATATTTCCTCGTTCAGTGCACTGAACCTGCAAGGAAATACTTTCTATGCAGGCTACTTAGAGGGTTTTAACTAGTTTAGAGAAATGCCTCATATATATTCAGTTTTTTGTGTACTGAGGTTATCTAAAGTGTAAGTATTAGACACTTTCAACAAAAGTTTGAGTTATCGGGAGTTCGAGCTATCAGGAGTTCAAAGGAAATAACGGGAAATAAGGAAATAGGATGGGGAAGTAGTTATGCGTTCTTCCCTTCAAAGGGTAGCAAGAAATATATTGATATTTTAGAAAGAAGAAATTAAGCAGCAAACCTTGATCAATATACAGGGCTTGACAAAAAAAAGACTACACGTTTGCAGGGGTTTCAATAAGTTTTTGCATAAGTGGGTACTTAAGAGTAACAGGCGGGTATATTTGCCGAAGGCCCCAAGGGCCTTCGACCATAGGGGGGTCCGGGAGCATGCTCCGCGGAAAATTTTGAAGTTCTAGACTCTCGCAGATGCATTTTCAGGTCTTTTTTTGTTGCTTTGTTTTTACATTTTTTTGCTCCTAAGTCAACTAATTTAAACAAATTTGAAGAGAATTATGTTACAATGAAGTAGTCATAGTCAAAACCTATTTTGCCAAATTTTTGGGCAAGAATTCGAAGCTGAGATGAAATTATCTGGTCTTAGTTGACGTTCATGTGAAGGCTCCAAGCGGGTAATCAGCCCATTGCAAGCGGGTAGATCTACCCGCTACCCGGCTACTATTGAAACCCCTGCGTTTGTTTTGAAATAAATTCAATGTATCGGACTGCAGTACACTATTTTTTCACGCTCTTAAAACATGTTTATCGAGGATAAAAATAACTATATAAAAGTGATCTGAAGGGAAACAAAAATTACTTCGAGTTAGCGGGAGGTTCGAGTTATCGAGGGTTCGAATTACTGAGCGTAAAATTACGGTAAATGTAAGAAGGAAATCGAGGGGGGATCGATTTTAGTTCGAGTTAGCGAGGGTTTAAGTTATTGGGGGTCGACTGTGTTGTACTGAAAGTTAGTGAATGGCTTCATGTATTAACAAGCTTATTTCTGCCTGTAGGTCAACACAAAAGAAACGGACAAACAACTTTCCACCTTACAAGAAGAAAACATCAACCTTAAAAATAAGATACAGAGTCTAGAGCATGAACTACAGAGTGCAAACAAACTTCACCTAACTACAAAAAATAAGCTGGAAGATGAACTGCTTAGTCTCAGGAAGAAATTGCGGGATACTGAAGCAAAATACAGTAGTTTGGCTTCCACGCCTCCAAAGGTTTGTACCATTTTATTCATCAAAAAAGCTAAAATAATAACTTGTTTTCCCAAAATCATAATGAGTGCCCAACTTTAAAAGTAGGCAATGAATACCAGCTGTCTGTCATTGCTCCCAGTCACTGAGGAGTGAAGGGCATACTCAGATAAAGATTTAAGAGAAATTGAAAACTGTGCTTATGCAAAATTTTGAGGCTTAAACAAGGTGTAAGCCATGGACAACGTGAAAAAGGCTACTTTTCTCTTTTGAATAGGACTAGAATCCAGTATTTTACAATACTTTCATGAACAATTATATTGAAATTCAATTTGCGATTTTTTTCCACTGGAAATTTTACTCTAGACACTCAACGATTATTTTGCGGAATGCGTGATAGAATCAAGTGCGACTTTCTAAACGTTGCAAGAAATCTTCATTTCAGGGGTTGTGAAGCCGGTTTATGCGATACGATTTGTGGGCAGACACGATTTAACAGGGCGACCTTTTTCATCAAAAGCGAAGGCCAAATTAAAAATCGGGCAAACAAATGTAGAGCGTACAGTAAACTGGGCATTACGCTTAACAACATGCCCTACCATTTCGGCCCGCAACGGTGCAACAAATTTGCGAGACGAAATGCACAAAAATTTGCCTTTATTGTAGCAGGGTTTCAAAAGGGTTCAAGCTGGCCGCTACCCTTGTCTTTTAACACATAATTTAGAGACATTTTTGTTTTTTTCTTTCAGACAAGAACTATTTCTGTTGTTTCGGAAGAAACAAAGAAACAACTTGAACAAATGCTAGACCAGAACAAGGAACTTGAGGCAATTTTGGCGAAAACGCGGTCGGACTACGACGCTAAGGTAGGAATTTGTTACTGATGTAAACACTTCTATCAGCGGAATTCGTTGAAAATTAGGCTTAGGCTAAACGTCGAACTATTCATGAGACGAACCAAACTTGGTGAGTTAAGTTCATCAAAACCTCGACGTCTGGCTCAATAAAGTTCGTCTGCCGGAATGAGTTTGGGTCATCCAATACGTTATATTTGTCTGCTTCAGACCGATAGAGCGTCTGAAGATCGTCTCCGGGACAAACGACGAGCTAAACTAATAAATTAAAAATTTGTATGATAATATATATTAAGCCTCGTTCGGGAGAAAATTTATGACTGGTCTGATTCGTTTCAACGCGTCCTACATTCGACGTCTGACCCAACAGACGGTCTTAACTTAATTGTAATAGGTCGACCCAAAGTAGAGTTTGGTTCGTCTCATGAAAAGCTCGACGTTTGGCGTGGGCCTAAATTGTTTTGTGATGCATTTGTTATGTGTACTGACATTATTTTTTTAATTGAAATTTTAAATGTTGATTTTATTGGTGTTGTCACTAAGCGTTTATGACTTAAAGTCCAAAACAAAATTCATGGTATGCGTCATAGTGTGTACGCAAAAATTGACCCTCCCCCGCGCCACCCTCTTTCGTAACTTTTCCTTTCGCGAGACACCGACCTCAAGAACCTTTCATACTAGCAGTAAAATGAAATAGGAAAAAGAAATTAATAACTTTTCTTCGGTAAAACTAACTACGAGTGAGTAACTATGTTTGAAATTAAAGTTATTATACCGTTATTATTGTCGATACTCTAACAAAGTACAAGGAAATGGGGTCTAAATTCGAACTTGAGCCATCTGGGCATCACTCGGGCCGTGTTCAAAAGATGCGTAAATGTCTGCACGCAGGCAATTATTAAAGCTATTCTACTTGCTTTTGCGACGCTCTTACTAGAGAGCTTTAGATTCGAGGACGACTTTGAATTTTAACGTTTCTCGTCAATTCTCTAAAATCATAGACACCCCGGAAAGCTTCATTTTACTTTTTTTTCACCACCAAAGTTAGCGCGCTTATTCCCGTTGAAGCAGGTTAAGCCCTCTCCCGACCGCTAAGTGATAAAATTTCTAACATTTGATTGTTTTCGCCACTACGACATTCTCGCTAAAACTGGTAGTAGACTGACGACGGCTACCACATTTTCCCGCCAAAATGACGTTGGTTCGCGCGCGTGCACTACTTAGTATTGAGAAAATCTCGTACTGTTGCTAAATCAGCCTATTATTGAGAAAATCTCGTCCTCGTCTTAGAATCTAAACAGCTTTCTAAAGGTCTTTACTATCTGAGAGCCCAGTACAGGCTATGAAAAACAGGCACCTGGTTGTCAGCGTCTGTTATTAAGTAGGAACCGGTTCAGAAATTGCACTAACCAAAACTGGCGTTTTTTTTGTTTCAGGTTTCCGCTCTACAAGCAGACATCAAGTCTCTGAAGACCAATGTAACGGAGACTACAAGAAATGAGCAGAAGGCTTTGGCGGAATGTAATGCGCTTCGAGAAGCCGTTAAGAACAAGAGCTCTCTTGAAAGTTCACTCCATAAAAAGGAAAAAGAAATCAAACAACTAGAACTAGAGGTATGAGCCTTGGGATTTCTGTTGAATAAATGCACCGCTGCACAGGGTGTTATTTTCGAGCAGTTTGGGATAGGATCCTAGAATATGTTTTGATTTACACGGAAACGTATCGAAGATTGGAGTCTAGAATAGGACTCGAGTGGTTGGTGTGCAGTGGAGAATGAGGTCTAGAATTTTGAGGTCCGAATTTCGGACCACGGTTAGGTGAACTATTGGAACACATAACCACTAAAAGAGTTTTTTAAAAATGGAAAAAACGAAGTTCGTTTCTGCATCGCCTGGAAAGAAGCACCTGAGTATTTTCTCCTTTTGTGACAGAAATATCGCTTAGTCTTCTACGCAGCCGTATTTGTCTCGTCAGGTCACGTTCCTCCTTAAGATGACAGGAGACAGAAAACGGCTGCGTGATCTTGAGAAGAGTAGTAATTGCGGATTATTGTGGATCATTACACGTTTATGGGAAACTGCCCACCTACTCTCCCTAAAGTCAATTTTAACACTTACTTCTCAATTAGGACAAAATGTTGGTTTAGGCGAAGGGAAGGTGGGCAGTTTCCCACAAACTTAAAGTAAGGGGTAAGTGGTAATGTTGACTTTGGGGAGGGGTAGTTGGGCAGTTTCCCAGAAACGTATTGCCTTGTCAACGTGTTTATCCAATAGATCGCACAATATGTGGCGTGTTTTATCCCATAACACCTTACACTGTGGCACATTGACAAAAAGATCGCACAAAAAAATTGATCTCTAGGTTAAAACAATTTTTGTATCCCGTTATTTAATAAATGTATTTTTTTTCTTCCCCTTCGCACAGATCAGAAATTATAAGGCGGACATCGAGCAGCTTGGTCATGAATTTGATCAACAAGCTAAAGAATTTGAAGAAGAAAAACGTAAACTGTTGAAGGAGGAGCGAGCCAAAGCTGATAAAGAGACGAGCATAATGCGCTCCAAATTAAAAACCCTCTCACTACAGCTTTTCCAAATGAAAACATTCATGGAGAAATTGAAAAGGGAACAGCAAGATCTGAGAATAAGCTGTCTGAAACTGGGTACCAGTGTAAAACCAGCCGTGCGCGAGGTAGCCAAACAGGTGAGTATGGTCGTGAAGCTTTCTATAAGCGATGAAGGGATTGTCAGCTGTTCATAGTCTGCAAGCCGGGGGTCAATTAAATAAAACTTTTGCACGTGTAATTTACAATTGTAGCCATTGTTTTAGAGTCTGAGAACAGTAGCTACACTTGTAAATTACACGTGTAAATTACACGTGCTTGCAGTCCGCCTTTCTCTTAAAATCCGTCTAGTTCTTATCTCATCCAGCGCTATTGCAAACCACGACGTTATTATTACAATAAGGGATTGAGACCAGACGAGAAAAGGCGATTTTTTCTTCTCGGGCTTACGCCCTCGTTTCTTGCGGCTCGCGGCTTTGTCGCTCGCGTGCTTAGGTTTCGCGTGCAGTAACTTTGCAAAGAAAAATAAGAGACTGCTCGCAGTCTACAGCTCTCCCTTTGGGGGAGTCGCGATTAGTCATGCGTGAGCGGCACGCGAAAAGAGACGGCGTTGTCTGTCGTCTCGCGGCTCGCTTCGTTCACCAGAAATGGTTTTGTGGGCAAAACTTGACGTCTAATTCACGACTACGACGTGAAACTATCACTTCCTAATGCGACGTTTGATGAAGGATGTGAACATGAGAGGACGAATTTTCCTTTCTCTTTTTGAGCCTGGAGAAAGTCTTTAAAAAATCGCCTGCAAGGTCAGGCGCAAAAACTGATTAGGGGAGGGGTCTTTAAGTTCTAGTAAAAAAAAAAAAAAGAAAGGTAAATAAGATACTGAGAAGCATTCAACGTTTGACGACTTTAACGTCTTCTAGTGAGTGAGTCGAACAGACGTTAGACGCTTCTCGCTTCTCGTATTTAAACGGGACCGGCCGCCACAAACTGAGACACATTTATGCCCAAATCGTCCAGTAAAACCTAGTAAAGATCGGAGAAATTCAGTGTGTGGTCTTTTTTCTGAAGCCTATGTTGTTTTTTCAACGTTGCCGTCTACTTTCCTGTGTCCCGCGGCCATTAAAAGTCAATGTAATATGTCCGGCGACAATATCTATGGTTTGTCCGTCTAAAATGATAACCTGATAAGATAAATGTCCTTTCTAAAACGACAAATTTGTTGAGGTCTGGGAATCAACTATTCTTTATATGACAATTTGCTCTGCATTTTATACACAGATAGTTCAAAGGATCGAAGGTATCGACGACAAAAATAAAGAGCTTGTCACCAAGTACAAAAAAGAAATGGCTCTCAGAAAGAAACTACACAATGAATTAGTTGAGCTTAAAGGCAACATAAGGGTATACTGCCGGGTGCGGCCAGTCATCAAGGAGGACGGTGGAGGAAGAAATGCAGAGAACGTTATAACTTTCGACGACGAAGACGATGCCCTTTTGAATGTGTTTTCAAAAGGTGCGATAAAGCAGTTTGAAATGGACAAGGTGTTTAAGCCACAGTCCACCCAGGAACAGGTAACAAAGTTTGTTTAATTTGGAAGCAGCTATTAGAGAGTTTGAGCAGACGTTGTTGAGCGATGCATGGCAATAGGAAGTGGGGTTTTTGCATTCTTGGGCAGTGTTCAGTCAAATTATCTCATAAGAGAAGAACACTTAGTTATTCAAATTTGGTAGCGCTCAAGACAAGGCTTGTTAAAAGGGAAAATACCTCCCCTCCGAATGACTTTCGTCGCTCATAAACGTCTTTGCTTAAGTTCCCAATTATAATCTGGAATGTGGGGAGTAATGCAATTTGACTCTTAGCCTAGATACCTTAATAGTGAACGCCTACGGAGAAAGAGCTGCACTTTAAACCAATATTTCCTTTTCTTGCAAAAATAAAGTTCCACGAAGGAAGGGGGATAACTTGTCCTTTATCAAAAGTCAGGACTAGCGTTCCCTCCTCCACCCACTAACTTGAGGTCCCTACAGTGTCCTCAATAAAGGGAGGTGACTGTACAAGGATTTTTACCAGGCGAATCAAGCAAATAATGTCAACTTAGTTTCAAAGTTGTACTGCCGTTGAAGCGTCCATTACTTATTTGTCTTTTGGTAGGTTTTTGAGGAGGTTAAATCCCTTGTCGTCTCTTGCATCGATGGTTATAACGTGTGTATATTTGCTTATGGACAGACCGGAAGCGGAAAAACGTTCACAATGGAGGTAAGTCTGAGTCGATAGCGTGAACAAGGTTGTGAGGAAAATTCCTCGTTTTGTATTTGCTTTGTTTTGATACGTTTTTTTCATGTTCTGAGCAGTTATTTTTATGTCTCACCTTAATTAGTGGCGGCTCCTGCTCTTCAAATTTTGATATATTTCGTGATACAACTCCCTTAACTCGTCTTTTATTTTGCAGGGGCCTTCGTCGAATCCGGGAATTAACCAGCGTGCATTAAAGCTCCTGTTTGAAGAAACTCGTGACAGAGGCGTTGATTGGAGCTTTAGTATCAACGTCTCTGTCATTGAGATATACAATGAGATGATCCGTGACCTACTTGGCCACGATCCTTCCATTAAACTGGAAGTAAAACAAGGTCGGGACGGTCTTTTTGTTCCAGGTCTTACAGAAATTCAAGTCGGCGATGTTGATGAACTGAATGAGGTGAGAAACAAGAATTTTATTATGTTTAAAAGTGTTAAGTGTACTCTTTGCCGTTACTGAACAAGACCAATTTTTCCGAATTTTCGAGCTTGAAGAAATAGTCTTTATACCTCCTGCAGTTCCTTCATTTTAGGCTAAAAGCGTAGATACCTCATTGCTCTCCAAAACACCGTGTATGAAAACTTAGATTGCAGCCTCAGAAAATCAGGAAAGGCTGGGCTATTCAAAAAAGGCGTTTGCATTCAATTTTGCCGCTTCGGTGATTATAAATAATTGATGATGTCCAGGAATTGTGCGCGATGTGAAACACGGTATACGGACAGATTTTACTCAAACTCCACATTTTAACTACCCCCATTACCCTGTGCAGAGAGAAATTCTCAGTTGCCCCCTTTTAGTGACCACATTTTTTCACAAACATGAAATTTACCCCTTAATACACATTACTGCAGGAAACTGCTCAGTAACTTTCATCTGATTGGACGTCTCTTTCGGATATTGCCCACTGCTGTCCTTCGTTTACACAATATCCATAATCTAGGATTTCTATTTACAGAATCGCAAGAGAATTTCTTGGTGTTGATTATACGATCGATTGGTTGATTGATTGATTGATTGATTGATTGACTGACTGACTGATTGATCGATTGATTGATTGATTGACAGGTATTCGCCATGGGAAAGACCAACAGAGCCACGGCCATCACCGACATGAACGAGCACTCATCCCGCTCGCATGCGCTATTATGTGTGACAGTTATCGGCGTGAATAGGACAACTGGACATAGAACAACAGGTAATAACCAGTTTGACTACTTAAAGTCTCCCTTTGCCACATATTCTGTGATTTGTGTGGTCTTGTTATTAGCCTAACTGTGTGCAACAACTGGACAGACCGGCGAAAACCAAGACGAATGCAGATATGTTCGCGGAAAAACGCTTTGCTTCAACCTTACCAGCTTTAGACTTCGTTACATGTGACATAAAAGCAGAGTGAAAAAAAACTTCTCAAGAAGAAAATTTTCAAGTGACATATCTGTGGTTTCTCTTGTAATCTGATGCACTTTATTGTACCAGATTTTTTGTTGGGCCTTTCCTTCCTTCCTTCCTTTCATTCATGCTCTCCTTCCTCTCACTCATCTAAAACACCTCCAGAGATATTATTCCTCTGTTGAAGGAAGAAAATCGACGAGACTAAATATTAAAGATCTTAGCTGTTTCCTTCGTTGAGATCTTCATGCTTCGTAAACGATGCCATCAAACCTCCCCCGCTGATAACACCTGAGATCACCTAAAAGTGATCAGCATCAAATTTCTCCTTGTAATGTCAATGCTTTGTAAAACAGAGTGGTCATGAGAATTACGGACATGATCACAGAAGATGAATATGCTTGATATTTTATCAACTTCTCCCCACTGCTTCTGTATGGAAATGAATAGGGGCAACATATGAGAATTCAAATTTTGATCTTAGGGCTTAAAGGTTTGAGACTTGTCGCTTTTGACGAAAATGGACGATTAAAACATAATGTCAATCTTGTTTTTTTTCTCTAGGGAAGTTAAATCTCGTAGATTTAGCAGGCAGCGAGCGAGTGTCCAAGAGTGGATCTGAAGGTGCCCGAATGAAAGAGGCTCAAAACATAAACAAGTCTCTTTCCTCTTTGGGCGACGTAATTCACTCTTTGAAAAACAAGAACTCTCACGTGCCGTATAGGAACTCCAAGCTTACCTACCTGCTTCAGGAATCCTTAGGTGAGTCAGTTAAATGTGCTAATAAAATATGCGAGAAAACTAAAAGTAGAACTAGGATGTATAAGTTAATTAGCTAGCAATATAGAGGATCCGGAATAAGGAATGGGGACCTTACGATCCGACAACGGCGACGTCCATTAAGATGTCGCTGAAAAATACACTTCTCATCCTTTCACACTATTTTGCGATTATCTCAAGACACGCTGTTACTTAAAAGAAGGGAATTTAGGTTGAAGCTGAAGAGAGGGGATCGCGCCCAAGTTCAGACAGAGATGGTAGAATTTATCTCCTTGCAGTTCCCGTTCTCAAGTGGTCATTCACGTCCCAGTTGTGCAGAGACGGCAAAGAAATTTACAAAAAAGCGTTATGCACGTGCAGAGTTGTTTTGCTCATTAAACCTGTTGCTTTTTTGACGTTCTCGTTGCCGTTGCCGTCGCCGTCGTAGTTTCGTAAGGTCCCTAATATGGCCAGCGCGAAGCGCGAAAATGAGTGATAAACAGAACATGGAAGATCTTTAGAGAGGCTACCAAGTCATCGAAAATGCTCTGAGCTATCTCCCTCATAAGCTTAACTGACTTAACTCAATGACTCAAGAGTCTTTTCTAATTTAACTACTTATGGCAGGAGGTGATTCTAAGACTCTTATGGTGGTGCAAGTGGCTCCAGTGGAAAAGAACGTGAGCGAAACTATGTGCAGTCTGAACTTCGCACAGAGAGTACGAACAGTTGAACTCGGACAAGCCACCAGAAAAACCGAGACTGCAGAAATGGCGAGCATGAAGGACAGGTTGCGTGAATTAGAGGTATGAAAATAAAAGCTTCGTCTTGTTGTCTAAGAAGAATAAAGACACCAACCTTACAAACACGTTTGCCTCGCGACAAAAATCGCACCGTGTAACCGAAAATGGCAAGTGCGCGAGCGAGGTAGCGTTTAGACCCTACCTTTTTGGTAGAATATCGCAAAGATTATTGAGTCTTGATAGAATTCATTTGCGCTCGTCGTTGCGACAATTTCTTTCCTCTTTTGTTAACCTCTATAGCTCGCGGGTAGAGTGTGTGGGGGTGCTTCGAAGGGCAACTACCTTTCTCGTAGCAAGAGGCGAAGCCTCCAGCTTCCCGCTAGCTACGCAGGCCATTGTTTATTTGTGTAGAGCGTTTACGCCTGACCGCCATACTACCGAAACAGGAAGACCGCGAATGCAACCAAACGCGTGACATTTGATTTTGGCGCCAGACGCTAACGACTTAGGTCACGTGGCTTTGTTTGTCAAACCAAAAAAGTGAACTTACGTGGTCACATTCTTTTCTCAGTGCTGGCGTCGTTGTTTGCGCATCAGAGTGGTCAGAGTTTATATATAGCGCTAGAAGGCTGCAACCGTAAGAACTTTCATAGATTGACTTTCTGCGAACGAAAATTTCGTCTTTTTGGTTGACAGAGAACACTATTTTTCGACTTGGCCTATGTTTGGCCTACTAAACGCTCGGGAATATGAGCACGCGAGTTCACCTTTTTGATTTGACAAACAAAGCCACGTGACCTAAGTCACGTCAATTGTCACGCTTATCTCGGAATTGGCGGTCTACCTGTTTCGGTAATATTGGTGTCCCAAAACAACGCAACGGCGCCCATGATGGTGTTCCAAACCAGTCCTGTGGAAGCTGACGTTTTATCGAGTACACACTTTCTTGTTGCATGTGAGTGAAAACGCTCTATAAATGTATTAATATATTGATTTCGTTTTTGCAGGGAGGAGCCGGGTCGCCATCTGCATCGCCAGCTAAGGGAGGAATACGATCAGCTAGAAAAAGATAGTAGACTACAGAATGTATGATAAATTGCATTATAGCCTTCGAGCAAGCTCTCCAATTGTGGCAAGTGAAGCGCAACAAGCCGCGAGATAAAGCGCGAGTGCCCCTCGCACTCACGTCTTCTTTCGCGTGTGGCTCTTGCGTGACTTCTCGCAACTCCCCCAAATGGAGAGCTTGCTCGCAGCCAACTGCATCATTATAATCATTACTTAGGAACGTAATTTGTACATAGTTAATGTTCTATTTTTAAAAGTAGTGTAAAGTTCCTTCTTTGGTGGAGCAGAGGCCGAGTGAAGTTTTTTAAACCATAGTTAGCCCGCGAGCAAGCCCCTCTTCCTCCCCTCCCCGGTACCCTTGGGAGAGCTTGCTCGCAGGATTGACCATAGTTGAACTGATTGAACTTAGATTCATGCATAGTTGAACTTCGTTGAACCGTCAACTCGATAAAAAGTGATGTTCGTTTGGCTCACTTACAGCATCCACAACCCACAATCGTGGACAAAACTTCTTGGAACAGAGATTCAATGCCCGTAATCGTCTGTTATTTCAGCGTTCCTTCAGAAAGCAGTGCCAGATCTGTTACAATTTCCCCTTCCCCACCGAATGTATTGCTCAAACTCAGAAAAAAGTGTGATTGTAAGTGTGTAACGCAGTATGCTAAGGTTGGGCATGTGTAGTTTCATTTGTGCTCAAGTGTTTTACGTGCTTAAAAATGCGCAATAAGTGCATATAGTTTGTCCGTCCAAGTCGTTTGTCCATGAGTGTAGATATGTAGTTTTCTTGCTCAAAAGGAGACTATAAAATCCTATTCGTTTCATGAATGTAACCTAAAGCTTTTTTCGCCCGTTTTTGCCATCAAATTTTTTTTTGATATTAACTTTTTGGATTGAAAACGGCAGCCGACTTTTCATAGTAAAATTTCAAGTGTAGATGAATTAACGCACAAAGCGGGCTAAATGAAGAATGAAGAATTATTGAGGCGTCTTTTTATCAGCAGCGTATGTAAATAAGTGATTACAAATATTTTTAGTATTTAACGAAATATTTTGTAAAACGAGAAAGCAACTGCATCTAATTTGTATTTATCGCTATTATACAGTTTTAGTATCTCATAGAACTTAGGTAGTTTTTATAAGTATTGTTAAGAAATTTTGCACGGTTTTACATGATTCCTAGAATTTGTGCGTCGTGATTTCACGTCACTTATTTATAACAGTTTTATTCTCCTGTAAACGAATGAACCGACCGAATTTTTATGACAATTGTAAATAGATGCCTTACCCTAGCAATCAGTTAGGAATTTTTCTTTTTTTGAAAAAAAAAGTTGCACCAAAATAGGTTTAACGATCAAGTCATTCTTAGGCTTGCTGAGGAAATAAAGGTCAGAGTTTGTTTTCCGATGAGGTTTTCTCATTCCTTGTGTTGCTAAAAAAATCAACGCATTTCTAGTTTTCTGTGTCAAGCGGCTATATAAGAGAAGGGAAGAAGAACTGACTAAATTCTGAGAAGTACCTTTGGGTGAAATGTAACTGAGTATTCTCTCTCAATACCCAGCTCTTTTTTTTTGGCAAAAACCCTACAGATAATTTAATAATTTTAGGGTTTATATATTCTTAACAGGGGCAGGTGCATGAAAGTAGTTTCTCCTTGTGAATTAATTTTTTTTCCTCGAAAGTGGTTGCCTTATTTATTCTTAAAGGTTCATCCGTTGATTGTTTCCCAACGATAATCTAAAACGAACAAAAATTTTTCTCATCCAGAACCAGTTAAAACTGAATCAAATTAGCAATAATTCAGCACAGGTTATCACCTAAATCCTTCACAGAACCTTAAGTTTATTTTTGATCCTTTCTAAATGCTAATATGAACTTATGCCACCTTTTAAAGGTTTATTAAAGTGGACAATAAACTACCTAAGCCATTTGAACCTCAGATAATGAGCACGAATGTAAATACAGCTCACTTCAGTTTAAAGTTTAATCAGTCTTTCACTGGCTCTCAATAACTATTGCTTGAAGGCGTTTGTTTGCCTTTTATACGGTCAACTTCATCCTTATTTCGTTATGTAATTTTCATGGTGCTTTTCATTTAAACATGACTTTTTATCCCTGGCTAGCTAAGTCTGATCATGATTCAAAACCTGTCGGAAATTTTTCAGTAACTATTTGTTACCTTATCTTGGCAAGCCATACACTCTGTCAATTATTCTTTTGCTGCTTTTTTTTTTAAGGAAGTTGGTCAAATCATTATATTATCTAAATAGCTTTTGTAGACAGAACCAAGAGAAAGATAAATACAGATATTTTAAATTACGCAATACTAAATGATCAGTCACGAATATTTACCGCATGGTAATATTAGGAGTTCTTTGCAAAAAAAAAAATGGCCATTATTTTTTTTTTATTTTTTATTTTTTTACGTTTCCATTTCAGTACATACTGTGTGGCACTTAAACTAAGCGGGTTTTATTGTTGAGATTTTTCTTGTGGTTTCCATTAAAAAGCTTGATTCTATCTTCTTACAATCCCTTTACACTTAACAAATATTCTGAGAAATGCTTCTCGAAAAGCCTTGCTGAACGCTGCGTACACGAACACGTTGACGGCAGTGTTCAAGTATATCATAGCAACAGCCGTTTGGGACAAATATGGAGAAACTTTCAAGTTTCCCAATGTCTCAGTAACATCTATAATGGTTATAGGAGCGACGAGTACTACAAATAAACACACTAAGACTACGACCATTTTGGCTTTTTTTCTCTGTCGGATAACCACATCTTTGCTTTGTTTTCTTGAATTCGTTTCGACCTCGTCTTGGCTGTAATTGGCATGTAGGCCTTTGTGTATGTCTTGAATTTTCTTTGCATGCCAGTGGCTTTTCTTTACAAGGTAACAATTTACAGGGATCACTATAAGAAGAGGAAATAAGCAGCATCCCATGGTGAAAGCCATAACTGCGGCTTTTGACAGCGTACTCGATAACAAACAGATTTTCGACGCGTTGCCCTCTTTGAAATCATCTTTGCTATCCCTTAATCCAACACCGCTTAACAGACAGATAGCGAACACGCCCATCACAATCCAAAAGCCTGCGATGAGAATCAAAATCACACTTTTTGACGCATGTTTATCGTACAAAAATGGAAACCTAACACCCATGAAACGATCAAAAGATATTAAAACGATGTTGAGCCGTGAAACGCCATCGAATAAAATACTAAACGCGAGGACGACATTGCAAGAAACTAACACAGTACTTGAAGTGTTTATTCCCTCTAGCAGTCGAAGTGGAATTGCAACAGTTGCGACCAAAAAATCTGCAACGGCCAAGCTGAGAACAATCCAGTTAGTCTTGGTCCTTAAGTTTTCATTGATAAAGATGGACAAAACAACCATAGCATTTGCAAGTGCTCCTGCGACAGAGATGAACGCCATGAATGTAACAAATGCTGTTCTCCCCTGTAAGGTAATCTCGCCTTGACTGGAGTTTTCCATGGTTATTGACTCTTGTCTTGTTATGACTTGTTTAACTATCTTTCCCCGCCTTGACCAGAGTTTAAAGTCTATAGTGAATTTAGGCCTTATATCATTTTTCCGAAATCACGTCAAAACAGCTTTTTTCAGCTGTTTTTCATTGTTTAAGATATTTAGCCTAGGGCAACCAACGGTCTCAGCTGACAATAATTAACAAGGCTATTTACCTAATGGGTACATTAATGGAACTGCGTAACGAATATTTGGCCGCTTTCAAGTCCTAAAAACATACCTTGAAAAAGAAAAACCCTGCATAATTGTGTATGGTTATTTTTAATAACTCTACTATCTCTCTACCTAAGCTATATATTAAGGGTATGTCTTTGGCTTTCGAAAACCAGGATGGAAATGGATTGCAACTTAGGCCCATTCTTGCGAGTTGAACTTTTTCTGTTGTTAAAAAATCGCCAAAAAGAAGATCTCTCTTTGTTTTCCCTGTAACTTAATCCCTTGATGTCTTTATTTTAGTGAAAAGAAAATGAAAGTAAGAAAAATGATGAAGGGAGCCATTAGTTTTAATTATTACTCACCACCTACGCCTAACTTAGCGTGAAATTCAAAAAGCCCAAGAGGCTGCACATCATGATCCGCGACTAATACTGCTAATTGTATATTGCATATCTCAATTTTTTTACGGTCCAGGCAAATTAAAGAAAGAAAATTAAGTTGAGAACGCTTGAATCGAGAAATGTAATGCCCTTTTTTCATATTTACCTGTTGAAAATCTCGAAAATAAAACCCCGCGAAATATCTCGTTAAAATCGCGAAATTAATGAGTACCAATAAGGTAGTTTTAACTTTCGAAAGACAATTACTACAATTTTGGACAAGCAAGTTAGTTTTAACATTGACGACAAATGTTTTCTTCCGCATATTTTTAAAACTCTATATTTGACAGAATGCAAAACTCTATTCCTAGATAAGGCCATCCCCTTTTTTTTTTTTTAGCGTCGAATGAGTTTCCTGATGGCTCGTTCGGTCGGATTGATAGAAAAAAATTACCAAAAAAAAAATCACAAGAAGTCTCGGAATAGGAGGCCCTGGTACCCCAGGCCGACGGTAAAAAGTCAACATTTACATACTTGGATTAACAAAATACACAATATACTGTAAAAAATGTTCCTGCTTTTCTCTATGGTCCTCTTTTTCTCTATGCTGTCACTATGCTCCGATTTTTCAGATTAAAAGAATTATTTCAAGAGAAAAATGGTTTAACTAAGTGGTTACTTTTTTTTTCCTGAAAATGCCAAAAATTTTGGGTCGGTCGGACGACGCTAAACGGAGAAAAAAAAGAGGATGGCCTAAAAGAATCTAAACAGTTCGTAATAAAGGAGCCCTCACCAGCCGGTCGACGAAAGCAGTTACTACAGTCGTTAAACGCGCGCGAGCAGTGTTTTTTCAGAGACCCCTCCAGCATTCAGGAAATGCGATCATTTCGCTCGGGCTTTGTATAACCACATTGTTCCAATTAGAATATGATTAACATTCTAATATGAGTCATCATTAGTTCAAACAAAATACTGGCATCTTTATTCACAGTATGAAATGATAGCGCTATCATGATTTCTTATTTACTGTTACAATGTACATTTGATTACCGGTAGATCGTTTTTAATGTGATCCCGGTTGCGTTGCAGCAGGAAAAAAAATCACTAAATCAAGAGAAAATGAGTTCATTCTCTCTTGACTAAATTTAATAATATTATTACGTATTATTGTTATTTCTCACTTCCGTTTCTCCGTTCATCAACCTTACGCAGGGCCGAGGCATCAACTCTTTTCGCAGACTGTACTGAATGTTTCCCTGAACTCTTTTTTTTTTCCAGGATATTAAAGTGGAGGGAAACTTCTAAAACCTGGAAAGTCACAACGGCCTGTGAAAAGAGGTCCAGAGTTTCTGTAATAAGAAAAACGTAACCCTTGCAAGTTGAAACTCAAGCGCTGATTACACTTCTGACGAATTACAGTGTACCGCATCCCTCAAAAAGCGAAAGCTGTCTAGCTTAGTTTGCATAAACTGAATTTATACGTATATATGAGTGTGGTCATTTTAGACCCGATACGAAACATTATTGTTACAATACAGCGAAGAACTATCTCTGAAGCCTAGAACAATATATATTTCTTTTATACTTATATACAGTAATATATATTCGTTAGCTTAAGTCAGAAAGAACAGACTTTAGATTTTTTTGACAGATGATGGCTCGAAATTATGAGTGTGTTCAGTTGGATTATGTTGGAATTAAGAGTTTTCTGGAAAAAGAGCCTAATAAAACGAAATATCAACATTTAGCAAATTGAAAAGGGCTTACAAACCGTGCTCTACCAGCTCGAATTAATTGACTAAATGCTCGTCGAAATTCCCCGATAAACCCGGCGTAAACAAAGACGTTAACAGTAGCGTTTGTATAGATCATACTCACTGCTATCTTAGCGACCAAAGGCGGTACACCAGACTCTCCAAAAGCAGTGACAAGATCAATCAGTGTGATGGGAAGCACGAGGATAATAAATAAACCAACTAAAATTATAACCATTTTTACAACTTTTCTCTGTCTTAATGCATGTATTTTGCGTTTGTAGTGTCGAACTTCAAGACTAGATGTACCTTCACCGTTGGTGGAGAATGTTACGTTCGTGTTAGTGGCACTGATTTCGAGGCTGTTATTTTCGACAGTTCCACTCTCTATGTTTGCTTGCTGATCGTGAATCACTCTCATTTGCCTGTGGCTCGTCTTGAGAAGGAAAAAGTTGATCAGCGTGGCTAGAATCAGTGGTAGCAAACAGAGAGCTATGAGGAAAACCAGCAGATATGCTTTGGACAGGTTAGTCGAGAAGAAACACAGCCCTTGGTTGTTAGAGAGGATCTCCGTTGGGGCAGAGCCAACACCCATAACTGGCAGAATGGAGAAGACGACCATGATTAGCCATCCACTTGTTATTAAAGCAGTTGCATTTTTGTGTGTCATAGACAAGCTATAACCGAGAGGATACTTAATCGCTATGAATCTGTCAATGCTAATAAATATTATGTTCAATCGTGACAAACCGTCGAAAAGTACCGTTAAGGCTATCACTACGCTACAAGGAATCGAGCCAGGTTGAAAGCCTTCCACAAGACGCAGTGGAATAGCCAAAGAGCAGTTGAGTAAGTCACAAACGGCCAAATTGAAGAGGAAATAATTCGGAATGGTCCTCAGCCTTCGCTTGTGCACAATGGCTAAAATGACAAGTACATTTCCCGCCGAACCTACAACTGAGACCAGGAACATGTAAGCTGTAGTTGCAAAATTCTCGGGAGACATCGCTTACTTTTTAATTACTGTATTCTGTGTCGTCTGCCCTTCGAACACATATCACACTGTTTATAATGGGGTATCAGGGTGACCAGTTCACTCCTGTTTTTCATCAAACATCCGCTACTGATCTCACCTGAATTGATTTTTTTGTAGTACCCACTTATGTCGTCATTAAAGAGACTATGTCAGCTGCAGTGCGCCTGAAGATGTTTTGATAGTGGGTATTTGAATCAATCAGCAGGATTAGCATGTGGTTGGGCCTCAAATTCGGGGTCTTATACGTAATCACACAACGAAAAAGTCAAATGGACTCCCGTAAGGTTTTTGCTTTCTCATGCAAATACTCCGTGAAAATCATACTGCAATTCAGCTTATTCTTGTAACTGAAGCTTTTTTATCAGCTGTCTATTGTATGCTCTGAATTTCCTTGATCTTTGAGAAAGCTCTGATTTTCTGTTTCCTTTGACGGCATAAATCAATTGATGACACTACGTAAATCATTTTATCTTTGTATTGCAAAAGACGTTGTGTTGATAACGTTAAGAAAGAAAACCGACGAAAAGGCACTAATGTGTTCTAAACAAAAGTGACAAAGCTCTTTTCATATAGTTGAACCTGGATCGCAGTACGGAATTTGAACTCCAACCATTAAACTGATCGTTTTCAGTACTAATGACAATAACTCTCCACTTGTGAGATGAAAATAAATCAGCTCGGAATAATGCGGCTGTTCCAGCTGACAAATTCAAAATATCATCAATATTTAAGAATAATAAAAACTATGCCTACTTTGCGTCACAAAGATCCTTGCTTCCTCTTTATGATTGATTATCTGTTCTTTTATTCTCGAGAAAGCCATAACAGTAAAAAACAGCGAAAAATAATCAGAAAATTTCAAGTTTGAACAAGATATTTAGACAGCGTTACTGCTTTTAATTACCTCTAATAGGAGCGAAAAGATCATTTTAGGTGGAACCTTCAGTGAAGACATACAGACATACATTTTCCCATCTTCCCTTAAAACACATCCGACAACGTTGGGGCGAAGCGATTTCTAGGGCTTGTAAAGTAAAAATTAGAAAAAAATTAAGTTGTCTTAGTTTGTAATGGAGAAACGAAACAAAGTACAGGTACTTGAATGTGCTGTATTTTATGTTCCTGTGCCGTTTTGTAGCGATTTGGGCTGATTCTGCGATTTTTAACAAGCCCTCTAATAGTGAGTTTGGGATACCTGTGCCGTAAGTTGAGGTCCCGCTGATACTAACCTGAGATCAGGCTCTATTTTCGTTTCGCTTGTTAAATAGTAAGGGAGAATGTATGGAAGCTACTTAAATTGGGCTTGATCTCATGTTACGCTGTTACGATCAAATTCTAACCTGAGTATTTTTCCGCTGAGTAAATGAATGGGAAAGATTAGCTTGGTGTTCCTGTGCTAAGGCGGAAAAAATAAAGAGAACAAGCAAGACTCCCGTCCAATCAGGATTTTGCTCTTGTTACTAATTAACCACGCATTTGAAGGGCTTAGCAAAGTGAAGTCTCAATGCTGTTTCCTGTTTTCTTTTCAGCATTTATGCCTTTGAAACCTACAGTTTAGGTACAAAAGCTCCACAAATTGACTTCGCGACTCACTTGATCACGGTTTGGAACGAAAATTTCATCGAACTACTAATACTGTTGCGATCATTCTTTCGTTTCGTGCGCGTAGCAACCTGGTTAGCAACTGAACAGTTCGATCATCAGATCGAGAAATGTGGCGCAACGAAGAGGTAATGAAGAGTTTTCTAGGCCAAACAGAAACGGTGGTAATTTCCTTCAAACGAGCTTTCTTTTTCAAAACAAGAGATGAGAGAGCGAAGCAATCTATCTGACTGAAAATTTGATTGGTGAGAGCAGCGCTGTTCATTCTGTTTGCGTACACATTGCTTTATATTTACAGTGTACAGCAGCTTGAAGTCAACTTAAGTAATGGATGAATTCGACGAAAATGGCTGGGCACATGTGCATCATGCCGCGTACAATGGGTATTATAAAAGTGTTAATCGCTTTATAAAGTCACGGGAAGACCAACTGGAACTAGAAACGCAAGATGGACAACAACTAACCCCGCTTCTGTTAGCCTGTATGAACGGGCACGTCGAGACTGTACAACTTCTCGTCGAGGAGTTGCACGCTAATCTGAAAGCCAAAGATCGTCATCTATACGGAGCTGTCGAACTAGCAGCGTCAAAGAACCACATTAAAGTCCTGGAGTATCTTTTGAATCTGAACAGTCCCGATCTTCAAGTCTGGAACAATTTGATTAAGGGACTGTCCCAAAGCGAGTTAGAAACTTCCTGTGCAAGAGCTCTCGTGGAACTTACAACTGAAGAAAATGCTGATTTATACTTAGAATCTTTCCTGAAAGCTGGAGGTGTTCAAGCGATTGTCGGATTATTGAAAAATGCCTTGTCAAGTGAGGAATCGAAGGTGTTTGCGTTGTCAGTGCTGCTTAACGTGGTAAGACACCCAGCTGGAAGTGAGCAATTAACTATTTGCAGATCAGTGCCGCCAATTATTCTACAACTGAACGATACACCGAGAGATTTGTACCTACCAGCTACAAGGCTTCTCGAAGCACTGGCATACTGTGAAGAGAATAAAGAGGCCATGATTAGTAATGGAGGTATTGATTCTTTAGTGAGGTTACTTCAGTTCAGTGATGACGAAGAAGTTGTAGAATCGGCTTTGAGTACTTTGAGAGTCTTATCAAGTTCAAATGCAGAGATACAAACTTCTGTTGGAAGCAACAAGGACATCTGGAAGTCCTTAGTTAACCTACTGACTGCGATTAAGAACAAGCATGTGTTATCGGCAGTAGCCAAGACAGTGAGTGCCCTTGTTTCTGAACACACAAGCAACCAGAATGCCTTTGTTGCTGAAAATGGTGTGCAGCCTTTGATGGAACTTATGCGTGTAAAATCCAGAGAATGCCAGTTTGCTGCAGTAGAAGGGATTCATGCTCTCGCAGAAGGTAATGAGGGTAATCAAAGTATTGTAACAGAACATGGCTGTGTCATGGTGTTAATGAGGTTGCTCAAGCGATCAAGAGAAGCGGATCTTAGAACAAGGACTGCAGGAGCCCTATGGGCTATTGCTGGAGCAAAAAATGCCCAAAGACGGTCAATTGCTGCTGAAATAGGCATCAATTTGCTCATTGAGTTTCTCTCTGAGAATTTACCTGAAAGCTTACACTTCATTGGTTCTGAGGCATTGGGTGTGCTTGCTTTGGGTGTGAGAAACAAGAGAGATGAAATTGCCAAGGCAAATGGTGTTATGCCTTTAGTTCGTCTTTTGGGAAAAGCTAACACGCCAGCGTATATTGTTCTCAGTGTGCTGCAGACATTACGTGCACTCTGTCTCTGTCTAGGGTTCAGACCTCATGTCCAAAATCAGGAGGCAGTGACCAAAGAAGGTGGTCTTAAATTCTTGATCAGGTACATGGTTCAAGCCCGTCAAGACATCATCAAAGTTGAGGCTGCGTACACACTGGGCTGTGTGTGTTTGAGTAATAATGCTAACATGAAAGCTGTCTTAGATCACAAAGATTTCAGCTTTTTACACATGCTAAGACAACTTTATGATGAAGATGAAGAGGTCCATCTTTTGGCAGGAGCCGCACTTACTGTGTTTGCTTATAACAATGTTACAAATCAAAAAAATATTGCCATGTCTGGTGGTGTAAGGTACAATGCCTTTCTCCCATTTTTGGAGTCCAAGAGTGAGAAACAGTCAACGCATGCCGCTTTTCAAGTAGTGGTATTATCACGGATCATTCCAGATGAAGATCAGTCACTAACATCTGCCACAGGAATAAAGCTGTTAGTCTCGCATCTCAACTCAATCAATGAAGACATTCAAACAGCTGCAGCAAACTTCATTGGTGGCCTTGCCCATACAAGAGCTGGCATCCCAGGTGCGATCATCTCCATCGGAACAATTCCCTTATTAGGGAAACTCTTGATGTCCCAGTATGAAACTGTTCAGGCAGCAGCCTCTGTTGCCCTTGGTTATCTCAGCTATGACAGTATAGGTGAGAGGCAGCTCCTAGGGGTGTGTCGTCATGATCCCTTTCTCTATGAAGTTATTCAGTTTCATGCGGGAAAGGTCAAGCTGTCACCTCAGTTTGTGGAGAGATGGCAACACTGCAAGATGATTGGTCTTCCGCCCATCACGTGAGTTTTCTTATCTTGTACTGGGTGTGGCCCAGGAGGTGCTCAAATATGATTATCATGGGGAGGTGCACATACATTTTGAGGGTTTGTGAAATGTGGGATGCAAGGATATTTGGGGTAAAAAATGTAGTTTCCCTAGGTTTCTGGGAAGATTCTATTACTAGCAGTTACCATGTTTAGGAATTCGAAGTGCGGGTGAACATGTGGGTTAACCTTAGAGATGTGATTGATTAGAACCGCTTTCATAATTGCATGTGAATTTAGTTCCAGTGTCAAAAAAAGAAAATGCTGAGGAACATGCACGAAGAAACTGAATTGAACAACACAGAAACAATACTCATATTTAATTCAATGATTTCATTCAGAGAATCTTAGATACAATTAGCCTGCGAATGATGAGGAGTGTGGAGAGAAAGCTATATTCACATTGAAAGATACAATTAAAACAGTAATGTATGACACAATGTATACAGTCACGACTGCACCAAGTCTTATTTAAATATTCAATCAGTCATTCAATCAATCCATGTTGAATAACCAAAGGCCGTTGATATGCAAAAGAAAATAGTGAAAAAATCTTAGTTTACCACTGGAGTTTGAAGCTTATTGAAACTTTCAGAGGACACATACTTGGAAATGTAAGCCTATAAAAATGCAAAAACCATGCGCTTGAGTGAAACCTGAATAAACTCAAGTTACATGGATTTCAAGACTTTGCGAACACTCATATCTTACCAATAACTCATCCTGCACTAAGCTGAGATCAGGCTCTACTTTCATTTTCCTGGGTAAATGGATTCCCGGCTGGCAAGGCGAATTGAAAAGTCTCATATTTGGTACAGAACTGTGTGCTTGCAAATCGAACAATGATTCTTGCCTGTGCATTGACGTGATTACTGTGGCATCAGACGGACCTTACACTCAACACCATGTATATTAGTCGGTACAACATGAGTATCCCAAGAATGTGGACAGATTAGGGAAAAACCCCGCTATACATTTCATAGAGTACCGCTGACCAAGGATAGGCTGCGGGTTCATTCATGCTTGTCTTAAGAAATTTTTCACATAGCACCCCTATTAGAATCTTGTTTTGTCATGTGAAAGCATGAACTGTCAACAACTCTGTTTCTCAATTTTTTTGGTTAGTAAAAATCCTTTTTCTAATATTTTGGCATTTTTAGGAAGAAGACTGACCAGTTGCTTTCTGTGGAAAAGAAAATGGTAACAGCACACTTTGCCCTAGATGCAGAGCAGGCATTCACCATAGCAAGCACTAACGAGTCACCTGGAGGTATGGCATCAGATGGAATGCCAGAAAGAAAGATATCTGCTTCTACAAGTCTAAGAACTGGCACAGTACTTCGCCTTCCAATAGCATGATGTTACATTATTCTATAGTCTGCATGGAGTTAACAGGAATGTATAAGTGGAAGAGATTCTCTGGCCAACATTCCAAACTCTACAGGTCAGGAAGTGCAATTTTCAGCATTTTCTACTAGGAATAATGGTGGATGTAGAAAGGAAGACAAGGAAACACCCTTTGTACTCTACCTGGTTTCCAGTTACAGCATTGTACAAAAAAGCGCTTTCATTGAGCACTGAATTCTTTGGTACAATGTTATATATTGAGGGCAATAAAGAAGTTATATTGATTATAGTCAAACTTTGTTAATACACACTTCAAAAGGACAGATTCAGGTAACTGTATTATGATTGAATCTAACACTGTATGTGCACTCTTGACCAAGCGAGAGGTCAAGGAGGGTGGATATTGGCTAAGTACATTTTTTGGCATTTTTATGGACTGAGACTGTTTAATAATGTAATGTAGAGGTATGAATTGTGTGAATGAACTTGTTATCTTTGAGAACAAGAGCACTGTCCATTAAAGAGCAAAGTCTGTATTACAGAGAAGTCTATAAGGAAACATTCGACCATGATCAATGCAAAACAGTATTGTGAAGAGTTTTGTAAAGTGTGGTTGCTTGTTTGAGATGTAAAAGTGAGATAGTTCTGTGTGAATACATAAGAAAGGCACAAGATGTGAATGGAAATTACTTTATTGTTGGTGTGAAGTTAATGTTGAAAGTTAAGATGAATTTTGGTTAAAATAACTTCAAACCACCAGCAGCTTTAGTGCTGTATGGTGCTGTATGCTTAAATTAAATATTATTGAACTGAAATAAACTGATTTGAAAACATTCTGACCTACATTTAGTTTAACTATGTTGTAGATCAAAATCAAAAGTAGGTTTAAACTTCATAACCAAGGTTGATTTTTTATTTCCTGTGTCTCCTAACCATAATAAATTATTTATTCTTCATGATCATGAGTAACAATATCATGATTATTATTAGGGTAGGAAAAAAAGGAAACTGAGAAGTAAAGTACAGAAGAAATTTTATCTTATATTCCTAGAAAAGACAGATCACTCTGAGGTTACTCATGCAGTATTTTCTCTAATTACCAAAACGAATCAAAAGATGGACACAAAAGACTGTTAAATCAAGTACATGTAGTTATCAGATGACATTACTGTATAAATACATGTTTGTAAATAATTTTTTTGCACAAAAAAATGTTTTACCTATCCACACGTATTCATGAAAGTACATGTAGAAAAGAAATAAATTTATTTACAAGTCCATAGTAAGTTCTTTCACCTGGGAGCGAAGTGGATGTCTTCATTTTTTGTATGGTTTCCATATTGGTTCTCATGTACCATCACAAAGCTGTCTGATAAGGAGTGATACAGTCAACTCTCTCTAAGACGGACACCTTTGGGACCGGCACTAGCTGTCCATCTTAGAGAGATGTCCGTCTTATAGAGATTCAAATAGAGGGAGGAAACAAAGGCAGAGACCAACTCTAGGGGTCCTTTTTACAGAGGTGTCCATCTTATAGAGGTGTCCGTTAAGAGAGAGTCGACTGTATATATTAAATATTTTATGGCTGGTGTGTTTGCTTTTCTATTCAAAGCCTTTTGTGGCCTTAAGTCGGTATCAACCAGGTTCCACTGTTTATTCAATGGTAGATAACCTTTTGTGTCCTTGTCATGACTGGCAAATCCACTGCCAAAATGGAAGTAGAGAACACTGTTTCTTAGTGATGTCTCAAAATGGAAACATCTTTTAGCACTTCATCTGTTTCGACATCGAAATTCATCTTGGTCGGTCCTTGTCACCATCCCAATGATAATTATTAACCAAAGTTATGGTGAAATTTAGAAAGATCCCTCCATAATTACCAGGTATTTGAAATGTGCCATAATTTGATATGAATCCTAAAACCTTGACTTCGAGGATAATCATATCCTTATCGGCTACCCACAATTACGGGATGAAAATTATGATTCAGTGGCATTATTTTGACTGACTGGCTTCCATAAAACCACAGATATCACTGTCGCGCTGCAAGACACTGGTTCACAACCTCCAATAAGTGAGTGTTTTCCAAAGCTGCAGCAACCCTTTCTTTGTCAGCCAGCTGTTTGTTAACTGTAAATCAAACGTGGGAATTAACTTAATAATGAAGTAATAAGATAGATTAGTCCCTGAATTTGCAACAACTCAATGTTGATTATGGTGTACTGTAAATGGATAATAGTTTCATTTAGTGCCAAATTTATGACAGCTAAATTGTTGAATACAGACCTTCTAACAGGGTACCAAAAATATTGGGAAATTATGTGGAATTTCCAGGGAGGGGTGACATTATGTAACAAAAAAGGGGGTATTATGTGTAAAGTTAAGGAATTTTTCTACAGAAGATTTCAAGTAGAAAGCTACGTAATGTTTCCAAGCCAAACAGCCTTAAATTAGCATTATATTTTGATAGATGAAAGATCTCACTATCCCATGACATTAGATGCCCTGCTAATATCTTGAAAATCAGGGTGCAAGGAAAATCAGTTTAACTTACAGATTGCCATACAGGCAAGCTGTAGCGAACATGTACTAGCCCAAGAGCTACTTTAACTAGTCCAAAAAGAATTTTTGATTAGAAGGATTGATTATGTTCTGTAATTTGAATTCCCCAAAAATCTTCACTTGCCTGTTGGGCAAGTTGAGAACAGAATTTATTAGCCAGATGGAAAACTCTACTTGTCCCAGGCTATCAGACACGACTTTCTTTACATGCTGAAAATCTGGGAGAGAGGTAAAAATCATCAATGCTCTATTACTTCTAATATTATTATACCACAAAAACCATTATCAAGATGTTCTATAACAACATCAGCACCTGTGCATGGACTTTGTATTACAAAGGAGTAATATTTATTGGTAGTTTGTCATATTTTTCATGAAGTCAAGTTTTTAGTATGAAAAATTAAAAAAGGCTTATACCTGCATCTTCTGATGCATGAGTTCCTGGAGTAATACTCACATCAACCTATTGACAAGAAAAAAATGCTACTTTTCAAAAATACTGTAAATGATGATGCAAATTTACCAGTACTTATAACTGACAACAAAACTATGTTAGAAAAGTGATGATACCCAAGAACACAGATAATAAAGACTGAAACATCATATGGTCAAACCTCACTGTACGGACACTCATTATTACCAACAGTTTACTTACTTTCTTGGATCAATTTAGGTTTTTGGGAAACTGCCCACCTGCCCCTCCCTAAGCCAACATTATCACTTAATTCTCACTTAGGGCAAAATGTTGGCTTAGGGGAGGGGTAGGTGGGCAGTTTCCCAGAACCCTAAATTGATCCACTTTCTTTCTTTCTTTCTTTCTCTAGATTCAACCCACTTAATACGGACACTCGAATACTGACAATTTCTGTGGGCAGGCCCCCTCAGTGTCTGTAATAATGGCGTTTGACTGTACTCTCATCAGAAAAGCTGTTAACATCTCCCTGACCCTAGTCTACAAAGCAGCAGTTTTAAGAGGCTACTGATAAAAACGTTGCTGCTAGTGTTACTGATGTACAAATTTGCTTCCTACATTCATATTGTTGGAGAATGAGCCTTATAATAATATTATTAAAATTCCAGTAAATTATCATCAAGGTAACTTGCCTTGAACCTGTCAGGCAGTGATCTGAGAAGTTGTACTCGAATGGCTAATCCAATGAGTGTTGCCATGCTGCAATGTGGTATTGTAGGCGTGAACTGTATTTTGACATAATCATTGTCGTCATCCACTTTCACTAATGACTGTTCAACAACGTTTAACTGTTCAAGTGTAAGAGGGTGTTCTGGGTCATTGATGGAACGAATGAGATGTAAACCGGTCAAGGAAAAACCTACACCCTAGAGTTTATTTACGCTTACGTACCAGTCAATTCCACCAGCCCACCCCCTACCCGATATTTCGGTTGTGTTTGGTAGAATACTTACATTTGAATGATTGGTTTGATGCATGGGAAAATTTTAAATAGTCACTTTAATACCTGGTGGGTGGGGCATTTGACGCTTTTTGAAGCACTGGCCGGTGGGGCATTTGACCATCTAAACTGCTACCATACCGAATTTGACCAAAATTTTTCAAAAAAGTCAAATGCCTGGGGGATTGCCCAGGGGGGTACTCCTGGGAATTCTTGACGGGAGTTTGCTACCCAGTTCTCCAAATCCTGACCCTATTTCAGACCACAAAATGTCATTTTTCACACCCCTTTTCAGAGCTGGCCTTTAAAATCCATACCCATTTTCAGACCTAGCCACAGCTGCTGAAAAGCTGGATAACGCAATCCACCAGATAAATCACTATTCACTGGATAAGTATTAGGGAAACCAATTGCGCTATCCAGTGGATAGAGATATTTTATGCAGTAGATAGTGCTATCTACCTTTTGAAAAACTGGGTCCTGGCCTCTTAGAAAAATGTCATCACTACTTAGATTACAACAGCAACAAAAAAGATATTTCTTAAAATCTATTCCAAATTTACTTATTTGTCTTTCTTTCTTACTCATTTGGAATGTTCATACCCGATTCCAGACCAAACTGGGCAAAGTCTATACCTATTTTCAGACCAAAACGGCACAAAAACGCTACCCTTTGGGGCAGCTCATACCTGTATGGCCTATGTAAAGGGAGTACTCCCCCCGCCACCCGGGCCCATAAAGCCTGAAGAGTGCATTTAAAATGTGTATTTGACACAGTGCTGTCAACTCTCACAGATAATCAGGGAGTCTCCAGATTTTGGACTGTATCTCCCGGTCTCCAGATTGGAGTATGAAATCTCCCGGATATTCACCAAAGTTTGCCATTCAGTTATAGACTCCACTTTCCGACAATAAGCTTTTAAATGTTTTGCACTGTTTGAGCTATTTTACCGTTAACATCGAACGTTTCGTCATAAACTTCGGTATTATATATTACGCCATTGCAATGTACACCATAATGTGAAACATCACAAATTCGCGACGATCGGGTAAACGAGTAATTTTTGCACAAATGACGTCATATACCGTGCGATATGACGTCATCCCTTCCCTATTAATTCTCAATATTTGAAGACTTGTGGGGTTGACAGCCCTGTTGACGGTCTTTAAGCCTGAGAATGCCTAGTGAGATCAGGCCCAATTTTAGCAGCTTCCATACATTCTCTCTTACCTGGTCGCGCTAAACCACATTAACATTATGAGAAAGCCTGAACAAAATAAGGAGATACTTTAGCCGAACTGCATAAGCAGCGGCTTAAAAAGGATATCAAATACTTCTCTTTCGTCTATCTTATCAACAACATCTTCATCCTCTTCTTCTGGAAGTACCAGCCGCTCTTGTTTTTGTTGAAAAACGGTGGGGTTGGCATTCTCCAAAGTGGTCGCCATTTTGGTTTTCTACGCTACTTGAACGCTGGGAATGTCTCGTTCGTTCCAGGTTTCCTCCGTAGTGTAAAGAACGCCTGCTTGTTCTTGTGTTTTCCAGTGAATGGGGCGATAAGTCCTCACCTAAGTGATTTTGACCATTTTGGGAGAGAATTAAAGGATTACTTCTCAGATATTTTGCATAACTCTTAAGGTAAGCAAAACGTTTATTTCTGTTTCTCTTTGGCTGGTGAATTTAACTGCTGAAACGTGAATGAATTTAAGAAAGCCCTAAGAAACAATGGCGGGAAAACTAAAATAATATAGTGATGTAGCAGATGTAAGCTTACTTGTGTTGATTTTCAGCGCAATTCGTCAGCTCAGTTGTTTATCATGAGACGGTGTAAATTCGTTTTATTTCGTCTGTGCACTTATCCCGAAGATAATGGGGTGTAGGTTTTGGAAACTTCGTAAAACAAAATTAAGATCTTCCGATTGTTAACTATTAACCTGAACGTTATAAGCTTTTTTTAATTTTTCCTGTTTTTATTACTCGCCTAAAAAATACTAGAAGTTGATGCCGAACGCAGCGAGGCAAATGACTGATCTGTAAGACCATACTAACTTACTATGGTGAGACACTGAACAATCATGATAGTTCGCAAATTGAATTCAGTACCATTGTTTTATCATTTAGCCAGTTTGCTTGTTTTTTACATATATATATATTTTCTTTGGGTATACAAAATTTACATGATGTGGTACATTGTACTGCAAATTGTATGAATTTTCCAGGGCTAAGATTGTTAATAAGGGGAAGAAAGCTTCAATGCAGAGATGAGATGTTTATGGGATACAGTTAAGGAAATCTGGAAGCCCTGTTTAATATACATAGTACTCAAGGCTGTGCGAAAAGAAAAATTGTCAGGAGTCCAGTGCAGAAGTTTGTTGTTGCCCATAGGTAAAATTAGGTTGCCAGGTAGCCAGCGGTACTTATATAAATAAAATATTATTATTATTATTTATTATTAAAGGTAACTCTAAGTAGATTTTAAAAGAATTTTGAAATGTGTACTTAGTGTACTTAGTCTTCAAATGAAAATGAATCAGGACAGAAGGAGGTAATGAGCAACATTTCTCTTCTATCTCACCTGCATTTAAGTACAGCTAATCTTTTATTTTCTTAGATGTGTTAAATATTGTACATCACTTCAGTCAGTCCATCTATCACTTTAGGGTTTCATTGGCCATGAAAAGTCCTTAAATCATTTTTTTTAGCTTAAATTAACTCTATTTAAAGTACAGTGTATGTGGTTCCACTGGCCAGCTCTAATGATGGGGTCTGAGTTGTTTTGAATGAGGATAAAGTTCAAATTCAGGGCTAGTTACCATAGTTTCTGATGAACTCTTATGTAAATTTCAAATTTTAGGAGCCATTTTAGTATTTTCTTTCAGTGTAGCTCTGGCCCTGAGCAAGGCTAAGTTTGTTACCCAAAATATTGGCCCCAAAATAAATCAATCCTTTGCCCCTTTGCCGTACTTTTGCCAGCCTTGCATTTGGATTGGTTTTAGTTTCCACTTCAAGTGACGTCTGGCTCTAGCATTTCTACATTAGAGATCTGGCAAGAAGGAACCAGTCAGTTTTATTTACCAGTGAGTGGATCTTTGCATTCTAAGGTTTTTACAACTTATATAGCAGTTAGTTTCTGAAAAAAACCGTTGTGAACGGCTGTTCTCCTGACATTTCAGTAAACCCAGAAATAGGGCAAATCAGCCCCAGTAATCGTTAGGGGTTCACCGCTCAGTCAAACCTGGGCCCTATGACATCACCCGGAGAAACTCTGTCAACCTCTTTCATACTTTACGGGGACAACGTGGCGAAAGGTAATGCTTAAGGAGTCTAGGCAGAGGCTAACCAAGCTTTGAACGATTTGGTTCTGGTGATTTGGTCCTTAGTAGGTAAAGTTCCTTGCTACTTTCGCATTTTGGAGTTGGTGGAGGAGCCTGTGGAAATTTAAATGCAGAGCTATCTGGCCTTAGTACGTTGTCATTTAAGTTGTCTTCTCCGTCTTCTTCTAAACAAGGTGGGTGGTAGTCCTGTTCTGTGTTTCCTGTGGGTATCCTGTGAAGCTTTTTGAGCGATTTTCGCGGCCTTAGAGGTTTGATAAGTTTGGGTTTCTCGTGGACTTCCCACTGGTACATAACAATTCGTGGAAAAACAACATCTTCAGCGCTTAGGTGTTGCAGTTTATCAGGTGGCTCTCTGCTAGCAAGATCATTTTGGATCATTTTGTACGAAAACGCTACTCTAGTTGGAGCACCTTTGAGCTCAAATTGGCTTTTTTGCTGGGCATAAAGGTCAATACTTCTCAAATTAGTTCCTTTGTTTTTGTTACCACTTAGAACAGGACTCAATTTCGCCAACTTTTTAACCTCGTGAGTGTTGTTTTCTGCCACCGAGGAAACTTTTTCCTTTTGTTCAACTGAGTTTTCATTGGCTTTCATATTTGCTTCTGCTGTTAAGCCAGATTTTTGTTGTGTTCTTTCCCCGCTATTGGACTTTCTCTTTCCATGAGTGTTCAAAAGTTTTTCTCCGTCGGTTTCGGGTATTCGGTCCAGTGTTGCTCGAAAAGCGTACCGTGATATATTAGCCTCGTTCATCGCGTGACCAACAGCCGTTGGTTCACATATGAGGTAGTTTGTGCCTTTCGTATCACCTGGCCGTCTTAGTTTCTCGCCTTTTCCTCGCGAGGAGAGCGGCATATTCGCAACGTTCAAAAAGCTATTTGCTCTAGGCAAACGAATCCCTTGACGGTCGAATCTTGAGGGTGTATCTGCGCGCCGGTGTTGTGATTTGTTTACTATTTTTGGTAGGCTAATGGTAGATGACATCACTTTCCAGTCGCTTTCTTGTTCGTTTGACCCGCAGGAAATATCGTCGTCAAAATCTTCTCCCACATGTTCTGGAATTGATTCAAGGGTTTTTACCCGATATAACATGTTCCTAGCGTTTGTTCTTTCCACCAAGTACGGCAGAGAATTTCTTTCACGCATGATGCCAAGTTTTTGCGGCGTAAATAAGCTGCAGTCAAATCTCTACCGGTTATAGCTTGCTTCTTAAAGTTTAAAGTTCAAAACTTTTGTGGATCAACTGTTCGCCTTTTGAACAAGTGTACATTCAAATCGAAGCCATGGAAGTTGTTCATGAGATTTTCCTATCTTCGAGTTGTTGATGCAATTCTCAGTGTGTTCCTTTCAGAGTTTTCTTAAATTTAACTTCAACGGTTTCCTTGACTTCCGTGAGCCAGCTGCGATAGATACGTAAAACATTCTTGTTAGCATCAAGTAAAAAAATGAAAAGTTTACTAATTATCGAGTTTTTATCTGCCTGTAGTACAAAATACGCTGGACTTAACATTTTGTAACTTTGCCTACCCCGTTCAAAACGCCGCTCCCGCTCTCTATGGCAACTTCTTTTTCTTCGCTGTTTTTTTTTCCAGTGTTGCTTCTGTTCCGCCCATAAGACCCAACAAACTTATCAGTTGAACGTATTTGAAATAAACGCATTAGGACCTAGACGGCTTAAATACGACGGAGTACAAAATTAGCGTTTGTTTTGCTCGCGTTTGTTGTAAAACTAAACAAACTGTTGTTGTGATGAAATCTTAGTTTAGTGTTGTATGACCATCTATACCACTGTGAACTTATAACTTGTTAACCAAATAACTATACAGGTGTTATGTAAATTTGTAAATTAAAGTGCAAATACTACGTTAAGCCTAGTTCGGTGATTCAAGTAGTCTGTTGTGGCCAATTTTGGGGGGAAATCAGTGTATTGTCTAGAAAATTGTTAAGGAATGACCTTCCAAATGTAAGATTTATTTTCCCCCTGAGCATTATGTTGTGTGAAAAGTGAAACAAAAACCGTCGAGTGACATGTTATTGCTCGGGCTCAAGAAATAAAATGTCGAACTTTTATGAAGTAACATAACTTGTTAGTAGTCTCTTTCAAGTCAGCTCATTGTTAAAACGAAAGAGTTACGATTTAAATGACAAAAATTTGAACTGGTGTGGAATGTAAAGCTGTGTCTACTTGACTTACCTCAGCTCGGATTTGCGGTGCTTGTTTTCGCCAAATGATTACCCTGCAAATTGAATATTATTGCTTTCTCTCGTGTACTTGCCCGCACAGTGAGACACAAATATTTTTGTTGTCATACTGCGAAATGTTAATCTTCTAAGTAATTAACTTATTCAGCGGCGTAACATTTGTAGCAATCTTATCACGATGACTTATATACGGTTACGGAGACGGTGAAATCTCACATAGCCAAAATAACTCCGGCGTAATAAAATAGCTGGCAATATTTGTTTGGTAAATCTGTAAGCCAATCACCTTGGGTATAAGCTTCATTTAACTTGTTAAATGGAAGGATTTCCTCCAAAGTTTTTAAAGTTAAAACCACAAACATCACCAGTGGAAAGCTCTCCACGCAATTTTCCTTTGAATTGCCACAATTGAGGATTTTCGCTGAGAACCAAATGTCGTGACTGAATTGGTCTCCAAGGATGGAATTGAGGTCATATCAACATAACCTTAAATATTAAGCATATCAGTGGCTTTAAATAACCCAAACTATATAAATCATTCATTTCCTGCACTTGTTATCATAAAAATGCACGACCGCAACGGATTCGTTCGTTGATAATTTTGCTGACTTCATTTCAACTTCACACTATCAATCACAAAACCACCCTGGTTTCCATTGTTAGAGTAAATTTTCCCGTCAAGGCGCTTTTTTAACGTTCCATTTTTAAGCGATACTTCGTTTTATCCGACAAAGCGTGGTTCTAAACTAAAAAGATAAAATGTTTTGTCATAGAGACGCTTCTTGTTAAGGAGAAACGGTCTTGGAAACGGTTTTTTAAACCATTAAAAATGTTAATTAATTGTCGCTTTTAGAGTGTACACTCCTTGACGCTTAGAAATTGATTACAGTTCTTCTGTAATTTGAATTCCCCAAGAAACTTTACTCGCCCGTTCGGCAATTTAAGAACAGAATTCACCAGCCTGATAGTAAAATTCACTAGCCTCGGGCTATCGGACACGGTGACGAATTTGCAGGCTAAAAACAAAAATTTTGTAAGCCGTTTTTCTTATCTTTTTTCATTTTCTTTTTTGTCCAAAGAACTAATTTTGACTAAATCTTGCTTCGGCGGTTTTGGAATGAATTATCGAAATATTTATTATAAGTGACTCTTCCTGCAAAACGTGCTCAAATTTGGTTTTAAAAATCTATAGCGGGCAATGAAGGGAACATTTTAGCTTGTGCCGTAAATGTTGCAACTCGCCATAGCTTTTTGAAGCTATAATTAAAAGCTGCCATACTCCTTTTAATTTTTACGAGCTTTGAAGAATTGGAATAGCTTGAAGTAAAACTGTTTCAGACATTTCGTCTCCTCGATCGCGGGATAAGAAAACACTCTCCTCTTGACTGTATTGTTTTCTCTTAATTAAGTGTAACTGGCTAAAAACCTTTAGTTCATTATGGCTGCTGTTTTGGTGTGAACTGAGACCGACTCGGTAGACGTACTGGAGTCGGTGAAAGAAAGAAAGAGAGAGAGAGAAGTGTTGAGATCACGTGAAGAATTGATCGGTTGTTTCAGAATCTCTCCGTCATGTCAGGTTAGTCGCGACGGCGCTCCAGCAAGAAGAAAGAATGATAATCTTTTGTAATTGGATGGTTTCATGACAATAATCGGCGTAGTGGTTCAATACGGCATCTGCGCAAATATGACTTAAGAGACTTAACACATTATTTTAAAACAACTTAAATGGACTATTTTGACATAAATGGGCGTTTGAAGCGTTGAAGGTTACTATAGTAAACAAAAGTAAGCTTCCACGTGACACTTTATGTTCCGAACCAGACAAATTTTTCAAGTTAACCTTAACATGTTCATTCCTAGCCTGCATGGTAGATGTTTGAAAAGGAGGGGAGAAAAAGAGCCTGCGCGTTGCTTTCCAGCTCCTCTTACTCCCACCAAACCTGCAAACATGCAAACATTTTTATTTTTCCAAAAAAAATCGAGTCTTATACTTTTTAAGTTTATTTGTAAATCTTTTACTTGCTTACTCGACTGCATCTCATTATTTGAAGTTGACTCTATCGGTATTGCGTACCCTTTTTGTTTTAGGTCACGGGATGTTCTCAATGGATATTTTATTTTGTCTTTGTCGAACTTATGTATTTATATACCCGTAAATAGAGTTAAATAGTCGTTTTCGATATTTCCGCTTAATACAGACTCTAATGACCAATTATACATGGTCAGCCTCGACTTAAAGTAAAATTGCCACAAATACCATCAGCGAGATGACCTGAATTTGAAATTAAACAATAGACAGAGTTGCAAACAGGTCGTCGCGCTGGAATTTGTGTATGTATTCGCTTCAGATTGAAGCTAACCCTGTAAAAATTGGTCTTCACCGCTTCTATTAAGCGGTCGGGGAACTTGAAACTGGACTTCTTCAATGAAAAGTTTTCCAGAATATAATATCACGTGGTCTGAAATGCAAAGTCCGCTGACCAATCCCGTCCTCAGAATCTTCGCTACCCTTGTCCAGCGGAACGGGCAGTGATTCTAAGTATAGAACAAAAGGGTCGCAACTGGGACCCGCAGATTGACCGCAGTGTCACCCTTCTTGGCCCTTCCGTGAGGCAAAATCATAGAAAAAATGTTTCTAAGTAGTACGATCGCGTATTTATTGATTTACTTGATTATATTTTAGTCAGGACTCTTTTATTTCGCACCATTTTATGACAGCTGTGTGAAACGCACAAGGCGAGGGCTAAGATGTCTACTGCCATGAGTTTATCTTGGGCATGCGCTGACTATTGTCTCTAGACTCTCTCTACTGATAGCGCATCGTTACGTGACAGGAAGAGGGCCAGACCTGAACCACATATTGCCAGGAAGTATTTTTACTGCAATGAAGTACTCTGACTATGACATGATGATCTCTTCATCGTCTGAGTTCGACAGTGAAGGCGGGGGAACTGGGGAGCCAAAGTCACAAGATTTTAGCTGATCCAAGTGAACTTGCAGTTCAAACGGAGACATCATTCCACTGCGCATCTTTTGGCGTCGCTTAGGGCTCAGCGCAACATTTCCTACAGTTTTACCTTGCGCTTTTACTGGGCTTTGGTGAAACATGTGGGGAGCACAACCCTCGCTTTTTCTTCGTTCATTTATCCTCCCGCACAGGGCACTTTTCGCCCTCTGCTTGGCTATGCTTGAGTCAAAACGTGCACTGCGTTGTTCATTACACGAATGGCATAGGCGGTTATTCTGGTTGAGCGAGCTATTGAGCGCATGCTCACTTCCTAACCATCTCCCAGACGCGTGTATGTTCCTTCCGGTTATGATAACACTGTCGCTGACCGAAGAAATAGGTCGAGGGCGAGCTCGGCCATTTCTTGAGCCCGCAAATTCGGGCGGCGATCTCGTATCCTCCAGTCGACTCAGTCTGTCGCTTGCCTGCGCCGTTGCTATGGCAGTTTTAGAAACGGGCGCAAGCAATATCGGTCCTTTAATGCTTAATGCTATTTCGCCTTTTGTGGGCTTAGCAAAGGCTGCCGTGGGTCTTGCCGTAGGAATTTTCCCTCGGGATGCCTCGATAGGATTTCGGAATCTGCGGGATAGAGTTTTAATAACATTTTGGACGTCTTCGCGATCTTTTTCGGATATCTCAGGCGGATAAAGATAATTAGTTTTGTCTGTGTTTGTTTCCACGTGAACGGCTATTATATCCTCAGTAAAAGTGCCTTCATCTTTTGTATTTTCTTCATTAGTTTCAGCATCATTTTCGATTCCAGCGTGACTTGAAATAGTGTTTTTATCGGTAGTATTTTCGTCCGATTGCTTTTTGTCGCTGTCCGTAGCAAAACGAACTCTTCCACTCTCCGATGTAGCTCTTACTGGTTTGACCCCGTCTCGTTCTTTCATCTTTCTAATCTGCACTTTAGTAACAAACGGAGTTAGGTCCACTCCTTTCTTAAAATTCCGTTCAAGATTGCTCTTTCCGTATTTAAAGCGTATTTGCTGAGCTTTGTCGTCAATTTGTCTGATTTTGACGGACATTTTGTTGCATTGCAGAAGCGAATTTCTACTGGCTCCTTTATCGTTTGGTGCTGGCGGACGATAGTGCCTTATGTGACTAGAACGGCCCTGATTTTGTTCCCATCCTGTCTGGAGCCAGGTCATATCTCGTCCTGTTGGCACAGCCATGGGCAACTGACAGTCTATAAACCCTGGAACAAGGTAAGAGAAAAAAATGTTTTGTCAGAGCATTACGTTTTACTGAGGGAACTTTTAGTAAAGGAACCTAGAACGGCAGATTTCGAGTTTAACTTGAACGAAGTACAAATTGAATTACGAATTTCAGTTCGATTTTCAGTTTTGGGCTTGAGAGTTGGCCTTTCTAATGTGAGTCCATGTTTTTATTCAATTCTTCTTCCCCAGTTACTCTCCACCGAAGGTCAGGAGAGGCCCTGGGAAAAATCCTTTCTTGGCACAGCTGCCCCAAGCTCACGAATGAGAAGCGCTGTTGCATAACAGAAACATAAGGGTTTGTATGGGGACTTTAGCGATCGTTATTTAAGGCTCGCTTGTGAGCGTGGGGTACCTGTGTTGTTACCATAAGGCCGATACCAGTATCGCAGAAAAATACTGCGACAACGCTGCGGAGAAGGTCAAAAGCCTCTAAGAAATCGAACCAATTGTCTCTCGAGATTTGCCCGGCCTGTGTCGTGTTGTTACTGTTGTTCTATAGTCTCGTGAATAATTTATTCAACAAGCTGCTAATTTTAGCTAATCTTAGCAGCTTAATTTACTGATTTAAATTAGAAAGACGAGTCAATAAATGATTGACTTTCAAGATACAAGATAATATTTTCACTGCGATTAAAGAGGATTAGCTTTCCTCTTTATTGTCTTAAACTTCATTTTTTCTTGTCACAGCGAAGGATTAATACAGGACTCAATATGTAGGTAGACAAGCATGTTAATTTTTCCCAGTGGTTCCGAACTTGGCAGCCGTTGTTATTTTTTGGTCCAAAATTTGTATGGTGTCCGACTTTACTCCCCTTAAGCAGCGGAATCTTCATTTCTGTTTCAACTAATTAGAGAAAAAAATCGCAGGCTATATTCACACAATAGCGGATAACTTTTTATGCCGAGACGAAAAGCTGTCGAAAACTATATCCGATATGTGACTCTCCACTTTAGAGATCAGTGCGTCGTAGCTTCGCTTCGTTATAAAAATTGCGCCGAAATCACCGTTCTTAAGAGTGAACAAAAGCCCTATCTGGTTTTCGTGCCAGCACAAAAGCTTTCCGGCATAGTATGAACACCTATCCAATATGTGACTTTCCACGTTAGAGATCGGCACAGCGCAGCTTCGTTTCGTTACAGAAATCGCGCTGAAATCACCGTTCTTAAGTGTGAACAAAAGCCCTATCTGGTTTTCATGGCGGCGCAAAAGCTATCCGGTATCATGAGTGTGGACACAGCCTTAGAAAACACAGAACATGGCTTGTATAAATTTTTTTCTTCATAACTGTGGAACACCATGCATACATGAATTAACAACAGATTCTGATTCTGGGAGGATGTCAATGATTACTTTTCATTCCCTTGGTGGCCTTCGTCGAAAAATTACAACAAAACTCATACGTGCCGCAGTTGCGAAAGCGAAAAAAATGTATTGATTAGCTCATTTTCCTGAGGTTGCGCAAATAGACGATGCTGATTTGTCGCATAGTAACGGTAATTTTGTACTGTATATTGATTTTCAAGTGTATTAAATTCGACATATGCATACTTATTGTCGTGTGCAAAAAATTTTAGTAAGCTAAGCATTCCGGGATATGAATGCTCTCGATGAGTAACTGACTTTTATCCTTTCTGAATGTGGAAGACTGAAAATGATAATAAACTCAAATCAAAATTGGTTTAGCTCGAATAAGGCGCTGGATCTTATTTTTCATAACCTTGAAAACTGTCGCTTGAAAAACCTGGGATTCGAAAACCTGGATACAGTTTCAATATTTTCTTCCCACGCAATATTTCAAGTTGTCAAGTTTCATTTTCCCTTTAAGACACTCTTTCCTTCTGGCTAGCCGAAACTAAATTATTCGGAATTTGAAGTTCATTAAACCTTGTACTTGAAAATCTTTACTGTATAATCTCTTTAATCGTTTAAAGGTAAACAGTAGTTGTCAGGTACTGCATTGTTTGTTAGTGTCAGTGTAAAGATGGTTGAGATATGCCGTTTTCAGGTTGTACTTCGTTATGATATCTCTCAGTGCAATTATTGAAAAATTTAATGGAGTGAATGAAAATTGGTGCGGAAAATCTTAATGTTGAAACATTTCACTTAACGAGGCGCAAACATGAATGAATCACGGATGGAAAGATGGACGGCAAATTTAAAGTGAAGGGTCTGGTTTTTCGACCTGAGGGTAAATTTCGTCGAGCTACATACAGAAATGAATTGAATTCAGAGTTCTTCGAGTTGAGATTCTCCCTTGATTGTTCTGGGTAAACTCAATGGAATGATTCCGATTTTGTATAAAACAGAAATTATTCACAAAAATGTATCTTCTGCAGTCGAATCGAGATTTGAGGCAAAAGTGGACTAAACTGAATTCATGCAAGCAAACTGATTGCCGAGAAGACTGAAATTTTAAAGGTTATATTTAGCTCATTCCGGCTTAAGTGTCTGTGTTAAGAAATGTTTGTCGTTCAGAAAAGTGAAAGCAAACTAAAGCTTGAGAACAGAAAATGTGTGAGAGGACTTACTTACTGAAAAATTCCTAGTTGAATTCACGGTACTGTACCCAGTGAAGCTTAATCCGACGAAGTCACTCTGCCTGCTTTGTTTTGTGAAAGTCAATTATAGTTTGAAAGTCTTGAATTTGGATGTCAAATAAACTTCACACTCTCCTAGATTGCACCTGCTCCTTATAATGAGGATGTTTTCTTTGCATATTAAGTATATTTCTTTCAAACTCCAACCCACGTTTCGTATTAGGATATGAGCAAATGTAAATAATATCTTCTAAGCCCTGTAAATCATTCATAATTCCTAATTCCGAGCGGTATTTGTCAGGCCTATTGCAAGCGTGCCTAAATGAAAGAATGTTTTAACTGTGCATTATAACGCGCGTATAAAATTAGTGCGTAATTTATACGTCAGAAATTATTACCGCGAGGAAAGAAAACATCAATTTTATTCGTGTTAATTTTAACGCACAAGCGTTTAATGTATAAACATTCTTCTTTCGAAGACAAAGAGTTACAAACGGCTAGTTATTGTACCTCCGGTTCGAGGGAGTTTGACTTCCACCGTGGCCAAATAGCTTAATAGGTAAAACAACAAGCCGATCAATTCGTGTGCATGAATTATTTTTTCATAACTTTCTATGGATAAATGAATAAGGAGAATTTCTAGGAGCTAGTCGTCTGTATTTTTTTTTCTGTCATGAAATTTTTTTGAAACAAAGGGAACTACGTTGAGGAAAGTACTAAGCGCGTAAGACAAAATTTTAAATCGTTAAACTGTTAAACTCAGTGCCTACGCAGTCTGAAAGCACAACTGTAAAATGAAGCAACAACTGGAGGTGGCTTTTAAACCTCAATTTAAAATACTCATGTTTTTTCCTTTTTATGATGAAAAGAGATTAAAGTGCCATAAAGTAAAGGAAACGAGTCTAAAACTGTACGATTGAGCGCGGACGGAGGAGCGCGGGCGCATTTTCCAAACAGCGGCTGGTGATAGAAAAAAAGATTGGTACGATGGTCCGACATTTTTTTGACTCAAGTGAGGGAATCCAAAAGAGTCTTTGATTCTGGATTCCATTCGTTAGTGGGATTCCGGATTCCTTGAGCTGTATTCCGGAATCCAAAGCCCAGGATTCCGGATTCCACCAGCGAAAATTTCCCCCACTCTGGAATCCGTATCCCCTACACGTGGCGAACTTTCGAAGTTTGATTCGTCGTACAGACTTTAGAAAATCATCGTCAAGTCAGTAATGGCACGTTACTTAATTAACTTCGTCCCTGACACTCAAAATCATATCTCCGGTCTCTCTTTTAAGATGCCAAAAGAGGGAAGAATATACCTGACCTTATAGCATTTAGAAAGTCACAAGAACAATTTAGTGCCTAAAGAGCTGTTTGCATGTTCTTTGGTTTTAGATTGTTCAGTTCGCTTTGTGATTGACTCGCCACTTCCTCGACCAATAAGAGAGTACACTTCAATCAAACCCAGTACCTAAACGCCTTGATTAGCCTTAGCCAGAGACGCTTGAGAAGCACGACGCGCAAAAAAATTGGTGGGACGTGGACGCGCGCGTGGTTTCCTCCGCCCTCCGCTCCTCTCAACACCTGTTACGCAATCTAGATACAAATTATGGAAAGGTGTACTTGGTGGTCATGTAATGTTTCGCGTGTGTGCTTTGTACGGTGGAACCTCTCTATAAGGAACGGCCAACGGACTGACAAAATTTGTTAGCTGTAACGAGGTTTCGTTTTATCGAGGTTCTTTTTCATATATTTTGCTATTACTGTGGTAAAGAAAATCGTTTGTTATACCGAAGACTTCGTTATATTGATGTTCGTTATTAAAGTTATGTCGAGGGGCTTTGGGATATTATTTTTTCCAAAACATTATTCCAAAGAGTTGCGTTTGAAAAAAGCTAGCGTCGCATGCTAAAGACGATGGTGTGAGCTACGAGCTGACGAGTAACCCCACTCTGCACTGCCCACTCTATCATGATCGTGTCTTGAGACTTCGATGGTCTCGTATTGAGACTCGCGGGAAAACCCGCCAAATAAATAGTCATTTCATTCAAAGGTCAGGCTATTATGAGAAGAATCAAGACCTGCGAGCTAACAGTCCTAACGCTCTCGTGGAAGACGTTGCGTGGAAGTTAAGAATATGGTCGCTTTAAAGGGAATGTAGTCAGAGAATATGAACATCTTATAAAGATCACCTGAATCGTGTATCGTGTATATATTAAATAGAGGTGGCTTGTAAAAGTGGCCTTTGCCATAATACTTTACTCACCTTTGCTGTAAGGTATCCATGATTGCTGTTGTTTGCTTCGAGACTGTTTCTACTTCAAGGCTTAAGTGTAGAATCTCAGGGTCTTAATTAGCTGCTGTTCCGTCGCTTTGCCGAGATGTTTTTCTTTAAGTTCCTGTGAAAGAGGAAGGCATTAGCACACCATTAAATTGTTTACTGCAAACTTAAGAGCACATTTAACGTTTATAGCTAGCTGTTAGTTTCATTTGCATATCGATGCAAACGTCTCTACATACATGTGGCAGACCGTAAGTAATTTTCTGTCTTTTGCATAGATCTCACTTCGCTTGTGGTTGTGCATATAGCTGTGTTAAAAGGGCGACTTAAATTGTAGATTCGAACTTTGGCTAAGCCGCTCAAGAGCCCAGAATTCCACCGCCGTTATACAAACAAAGAATCTTGCACAAACCGGAAAGGCAGCGAGGAAAAAATGTTGTGATGTCTATTCGCTTCAAAGAAGATCACTTCTGGTCTTAAACATAGGCTGTATCGTTGTGAAAAATTGTCATTTACTTTCTCGTGTCAAACACGGCGATTCAAATTGTAGGATTTGTAATTAGGGCAACGCTGGTGTGTCATTAGTGACCCATTATATTAAACCTGATAGCTTTTGTAAAGCTGTGTTTTAATTTTGCAATAGCAGGATTTTTGAGCTTGAAACAATAGTTCGATATAATGGCTATTCAAAACAGCGAGCTTAGATAGAATTGAAACCAGCTGAGCGAAACGTTATTGATACAAACAAACCGAAGAACGTTTTGAAGGTGTGTGTTGTAAATTGGTTTCAGTATGTTTTCTCGAGTTCTTTTGCCTGAATGGAGAAAAACATCTTTTAACCCTATGGCCATAGGTAAATGATATGTAGTCTGCCCGGGCGAGGAACAGTTCTTTGCTGCCAAGTTCTTTGAAACGATAATGAACGTTCAACTTACAGTTATCGGTGTTTCAGTTTAAGAGTTGACTGTATTTCCTTAAGTATGTGTGCGTCAGCGGGTTTAGTAACATTTCATCTACATTTATTGATTTCATCAGTTGTCCACGTTTCTAAGCAATAATGATGCTTGTTCCTTGTTAATGTTAAGCGCTTTAGGAGAATTTTGCACTGAAAACTTTGCCACGCATTATGAATATTTTCTAGAGCGTTTCTCTCAGCATTAGATTTATTGACAACACAAAACCTCGTCTTATAATCGTTGCATCTTAACTGAATTTGCATTGTCATCTGCGTTGTGGTGGAAAAAATGGTACAAATTTACTCTCGCTTTTAATAACTTGTATTCGATTGACAGAACAGCTTATTGTTTTTAGTTCTTTTTAGCTTGCTACATGTCCAGACTTCTGTCTATTCCTCTATGATTCTTACGACGTGTCAGATCTTCTTAAATGCAATACGACATAATCTTCATTCGAATCAGCTAAGAGCCAAAGTGCATACTTATTAGGAATTTTGAAAAGAGTCGCGTCGTGGGGATTCAATTTTAAGATGCTGTGTAATAATTTTTCTTTTAAAAAACGAAGTGTCTTTAAGAAAAGATTGCAGCAAATAAAACGTCGGATGCCTATGTTACTACTCTAAGATTTCAAAACACGATGAGTTCATCAGAAATATATATCTCTAAATCGAGCGTGATACCTTTTCCTTTTCCTGTTTCGTGGAATATGCTGGCTCTATCCGTCTTCTAAACATAAATAGTTACTAGGCTTGCCTCCAAGAGCTGATTCCGCCGAAAGATTGCTGCTTCGCTTCCTCTAAGTTCTGCGATTTAATACTGAGTCAATGACTCAATTGATTACCCTCCAAGCTTCGCTGCTCTTTCGCTCTGGCAGGTATGTAATTTGTCATAGGTTTATTAAACATGCATGAAAAAATATTCCAATTAAAAGTAGAATGCAAATTGTAGAGTTTAGTTAATGGTGTCTATTTATAGGCAACACCTGTCTTTGTAGTACGGGAGCTTAAGGTGATGTCACACGAGACGGTTCGCAACGTTCACCTTAATCGACGACGTCGACGGCAACGGGAACGGTCAATTGGTTGACTGGGGCCCGTTTCTCGAAAGTCCCGGTAACTTTACGAGCCCGAAATCAAAATCAAATATTCAAATCGAAATATAAAGAATAAGAGCGCGGGTCCTGGCTAGCAAACTACTCCATTTTGTTTCACTAACTGACAGTTTTATCACGTTGGATGCAAAACTATTGAAACCTCGATCTTTAATGTAAACGGAGACAGCTTACCGGGCCCGTTAATTATCGGGACGTTCGAGAAACGGGCCCCTGGCCCCCAAAAAATGTGCACGCGCATGACGCTGTTTTGTACATTTCTTTGCCGTCGTTACAAGACCACCACGTGAAAATCCTAATTTTACGTTTTGATGACGACGTGAACACAAGACAACGATTTTCTAATTCTTTTTGTTAACTTAGATACAGTCCTTTGGAATTCAACCCCACAAAAAAAAATTCAGCAAAATTTGAAAAATGAAGCGTTGTATTTTGAAACAGCGTAAATTAAGTCTCTTAGAGGCGTTTCGCCATAGTCGTTGTCGTCGTCGCTTAAGCTCCGTATTAATTTTTTTTTTTTTAATTCAACAGTCAATTGCCGTGGTTACTTGAAATCAAGAGGATTTCCTGAATTATCTAGTTCTTAAACAATAAGTTTTTTCTCAGGTTTTGTATCAGCATATTTCAATCTAGAATTTTCCAAATTCGATTAGCTAAAAATCCACAGATTTTCTGTGAACTTTAAAGATGATTACAACGGTCGCTAAAATGGCAAAGACAAAAATCGGATTGTCTATAAAAATAGAAATAGAAAGGGCATCTTTCTAAAGAGTTTCATGGGGGGGGGGGGGGCAGTGGATTTTCACTTTACGACCTCATGTGTCACATGATTGATACCGTACGCTATCAACGGCTTCACCGAGCCGTTAGGTGGATGGGGAAAAGGCCCTGGGTACGAAGTTGTTATCAAGGGGAGACGTAATTTGTCACGTGACCAAATGTTTCTTGAAGTATGTCGTATTACCGCCAGGGGATGCCCTGGGTACGAGGGTCATTGAACCCAGAATCATCAAAGTGATGAACTAAAAAAAGTGGCAGGTCAGATGCTTAGACGGGGACTAATTCATTCCCGAGACTTTGTTTTTGTAAAGCCCCCAAGGAGCGTTACGTGACGAAACCAATACGGCCCCGAGGGAGACTAATAAGTCTAAGGATACGTTTCTTTACTAAAATCCAAATCCGGATGTTTAATCCAAAAACAGACACACTGTATTTCGTTTCTTTAACAGAATCCAAAACTGATTAATGATCCAAATGATCCACAGCGGAGGTGGATTCTTTGGGTCATATCTAAAACTGAATACTTAGGATACATGATACGAAGCGTTTCTTTACTACGGATCCGAAACGAGTGAATATTGCCAGGGATAACTCAAACAATTTTAATACGTACATCAGCCATTTGACAACACTCCTTGTCTTTAAGGCCATTTTTGAACCTGAGGCTTTGATTAAACGATCGATTTTATCCGTTTTATCGGGGTGGTACAAACAGGACCTGCCAGGGGTCCGTTTCTCGAAAGTCCCGGTAACTTTTCGGGTTCGAAATCAGATTTTCAAATCTAACTACAAAGAGTAAGAGCGCGGGTCTTTGCATTGTTAAGTCTAGTTTACAAGGACAAAAGTGCTACACAACTTCGCCGGCGCGTCTTGTAAGACTTTACTTTTCCAATACACATCTTTTTTCAAGACTCGCCTTCATTTGTCCCGTCCAAAGCAGTGTCCTAAAGCTAACCGTCTAGAATTCAATGAAAGAGCAGCAAACTTGGAACATTGTCAGCATCTGTGTTATTCTTTCTCCGGGATACCGTCGATATTGTGGGTTGTTTCTATGGAAGTGAATGAAAAATAATCCCTTTTTGGATACACCGTTTCTTTTCTCAATGAAAAATCCTGATGATCCGGAGTTTTGATCTGATCTTGGATTTTAGTAAAGAAACGCACCCCAAGCTTGACTTTAATGGGCGCTTCGCGCATTCAAAGGCTTGGTACTTCAGTTTGTGGACAAGTCAACACGAAATGCATTGGTTAGACTGATAATGATGATTTTTTTTCCCTTTCAGCAGACATTCATATTGTGACGCAGTGATACATGATTAAGAACACCAGGTATGTAGAATGGGAAGGGGAAATGTAAAGGATGTGTATTTTTGGCGTCAAGAACACCGATAAAAATGAAATCATTGTTGCTTTAATCAAACCAAGAAAGCTTATTTTAAAAGCTAATATGTCTATTTTGTAGGCAAAAGTGACTTAGAATACAGATTGTAGGTAACTTATGATGGTGTAACTAGAACAGCTACAAACTTTTTACGTTTAGCGCTCATTTAATTTGATGCCAAAGTTTACAACGCACTCGTTTTCAATTTGAAACACATGGTAAAACTCTTTTCTTGGCCTGCGGAATACTTGGAAGCAGTCTACAGGGTCGTCTTCGGATTACTGTCGGCTTCGGTGTAGAAGGTGGCTTAGGCAAAGTGGTTTCTTGTATCTCTTGAACGTTCGGCAGTGGTCGGGCTAATGTCGATTGAATCTTTGGATGCATTCGGGTCGCCTTCGGTGTTGAGGGAGGTTTTGGTGTCATTAGCCCTTGTTTTAACTGAATGCTTGGCAGCTTTCGATCTACAGTAGCTTGACTCTTCGGGCGTTTTCGCCATATGGTCGGCTTTGGTGTGGATGGTGGAACTGGTATCAAAAATTCACGTGCCGCGTGAATTCTCGGCAATTCTGGTTGGCGAGGACTCAGTCCGCCTTCTTCAGCAGACGAGTGAAATACTGTCTTTCTTGGTCTATGTAATTTTGCTAGAAGAGGAAGCGTGCTTTGAGATTCATTAACAACAGGTTTAATTTTGCGTCTCTTCGGTGCTTCTTTCTCCTTCGACTTTGCGCACAGCAACTCTTTCTTCTTAGGCGGTGGTGGAGTTTCTTCTGTCGCCTTTGATTGGCATATGCCTTGGACTCTACTCCTCTTCAGCTTGTAAAATGCCTCGTCAGATCGCTGCATTGAAGGCACTTGTGGGGGAATCGGTGATGTTATTTCTTTGATCGTAGAAAGAGTTGGTAACATCCGCCTCCGGAATTCTGCCCTAAAGATAGCTAGCGTTTTTAGTCCAGCTCTCGCCTGGTTACTCAGCAGTGCTCGGTTCTCTGTCGGCAGACCGCTTGGCAGAATTTCTTCCACCGTCGCAACTTCCGACTGAGATTTTGCCTCAGTTTTCTGAACACTCAGAAGTTTTTCCTCCTCAATTGTTGGAAGGCTCCACAGGTGTCGCACTGAAGCTGCACCTCGCAAAACTTCTTGTGGATGGATGCTCCAGCGAAGAATTTCCTGAACGACTGGTGGCAGACAAGGCAAGATTCTTTGCGGCCTTTGTTGCACTTTCTTAAACTCGTTAACCGGAATAAAAGGCGAGGATTGCTCTTTTATCAGTTCAAGATTCGGAACTTTCAATAATACTGCACTCTTTGATGGTTGAATTTTCACCAATTGTAGCTGCTCTGAGCATTGCAGGACAATCTCCGCTGGGGAAGAATAGTCTTTCATCCTTAAATTTTTGCAATATTTAGTGTTTCTTCCCAAAAAAACAAACTCTCCAGAAAGATTCCTGTCCTGACGAAGTTTTGAAGTTTTCTCCAATGATTTTAAACTCAAAATGACGCACAAATTTTGCGCAACAACAAGGTAAACAGTGTTTGCGGTCAGTTTACCAGCGAACAACTGCAGTTCTGTGGAATTTGTCTGTGACGCAAAGTTTGACATTGATGACGTGTAGCGCGCGCGTGCAGCGAAGAATTGTTGTTTTCTTATACTTTGTTTTGTAAATTTGAAACAATGCACAGTAAGAAATTTTTTTCCCTCGGATTTTGCGTAGAAGGTGAACAGTAAGTTTTAATTTATAAAGAAAATACTGCAGTTTTACAGAGGTTTTCAGCGATGTAAGATCAGGCATTAATTACGAGTGTGCACCAGTGACAAAGTGACAAAGTCGTTTTCTAAAAAATCTCGTCTTGATTAAAGGTAGTAATGTATTAAGTAAAATGATGAATTTTCTCTGTTTTATTTTTCTTTTACTCGAAATGTTCCATTACCATATTCTTTTACAGTCATTTGTGAAATTCTGAAGCGCGCGCAAACTTTCTGCTCGATAGTCCTGATTTTGAATATGACTATCGAAAATTCCTACATGTGCAGCTTGGGTTATCACGGACATTTCCCATCAACCCCCGTGTGGCATTTTTTCAGCCCCCAATCAGTTAAATACATAACTGATGCCCTGGGCATATCAGAAACAAAATAAAAACCCCTTTTGTTTAATTTTAACATAAAATATAGAGAGCAAAAGGTGTTTCTATTCTCGTATTTGAAAGGGACAGGAGGCAAATTGTTGTTGCTGGAAATATCTGTAAGTCGTAACCTTTCACAGATAGGATGCCTAAAATGTTTTCATTACCAGAATTTTTTTCTGTTCCATGAAAATCTGATACCAATTGTAGAACATTTTATGAGGAGCGTGGTTGAAAGGCGGTGTCTGTCAAAACCTGATTAAGGAAGTTGGCGTATACTAGACATCCATTCCCCGTTGTGTGCTAAACTATACAAGCTGGCTTTTTCGCCTTTTCTTTCTTTTTGAAGGGAAAACGATTACTGAGTATAAGTTAGGGAGTCGCAAAATTGTTGAAAGCACCGGCACTTTATCTCATTGCATCCTCGAACACAAAAAGAAATGAGATATCATTCTATGCAACCAAACACTATTTGCCACGGCTTAGCATCAAGCAGGAGGTTCTTAAATCGAGTGTAAAAAAGGCTCCAACGGTCTGAAAACAGTAGTATAGGTTATTTTGAGGATCCAAGTTTTGAAGAGTCGGCGACACAACCTGTCGAAACCTTCCGACGAACCCCAACCCACCCCCTTCCGTTCTCGGAAGAAGATGGCGAAAAGGGACATCTCCGGTCGTTAAATCTCGCTGAAATTAGCAATATATCATTTATTCAGAAATCTTTTTTGAAGTAAATAATTTTTTGCTTGTTACAACCCAGCTAATACCTATGCACCCTCGTTGTGTAATGTAAAGATTTCCAACGGTCTTTCAGGTTGATAGAGGCCTGTTCGAAGTAACTGATGTTTTTCGTGTTATATCCGGACAAGAGCCATGATTTAATATGGCTCTTGATCCGGATGGTTCACGAGTTGATTAAATTTTTAGTTGAGCTACGTTTTGGTCAATTAATTAAGAGTTGTTTCCTTTTGCTAACCCGTCTGTTTAAAAATGTATGTTAAGTCCTTTCTAAATTAATTCTTGGCATTTTCCCAAACAAAGAGTTTCTTTGTTTCGAGAAGAGAAAGAGTTGTCAACTAATTAGTTCAAGTGAAGATAGCATTGAGTTTTATTCAAGCACCCTTTTTAAAGGCAACATTTTTTATCTTCTCTGTTGTTTTAGAACATTTTTCCATGTGTGTCAGGCTTGAAAGCTAACCATTTTTATAAATCATTTTTGCCCGTTTTTGGCTATTTGACAGCATTTGTTCTTGGGTTCTAACTTTCGGATGTGCGCATTAATTAGGGATTATACGCGGTGAGATATGAAAGTCCTTTCCGCGTACCGCGCCGTCAGTGTTTATTTTTTGGTCCTTTGATTGACGAAATTATTAATTCCAAGGATCAAAATGTTTTCTTTTCCCGCCTACACGAAGCCTTTTCGTCTAATTCGTTTTCAGAAGTCTTAGAAACTCTGATAGATTTTAAAGAATCCATTCAAATGCTTATTTTCTAGTGAACTGTCGACCGCTCTCGCCCATCTCGCCGATGTTATTTTTTTCGCAAAATAATTTATTCTGTTTTTGTTCCTGAAATATAGATATATCCTGAATCTGAAGAAACATACCATCAAGAAAAGAGGAAGATTTAAGAACCCTAATTTGTGAAAACGTCATGTTTTAAATTGAAAATTAATTTCTATTTATTTGTTGTTAATTGTTTTTCCCTTTCATACACCGAAATAACCTTTTTGCATTTGAGAATTTATTCAGGTGTCGCACAAGTAAAAAGCCGACGGGTATTGATAGAAAACCTAAAGTTGACTTCTTGAGAAGCCGCGATAAAGTGATGAAGATTTCAGTTGCTATTTGAACAAAGAACCACGTAACAAGAGCAGGGAAAACAGCTAAAACAAGTCGAGTACGCGTTTTACTTGATGTTTATTTGGTGCATTTTCAAGTTAACAACATCGTTATAATCAAATAAATAATGTGAACTTGAAAGTCTTCGCTACGAATTCAACTATATTGGGTTATTTAGTCACATAAGGCAAATTTTCGCAAATTATAGCATTTCAGAAGTTGTTTGCGAATACGTTTTTCCGTCGACGTTTACCCTCCTGATAGACCTTTTCATTGCTTTTTTTTTCAACTTTTGACAGGGACAAGTGTTCGGGAAAATCGGTCAACACCACTAAAAAGAGCGCCCTAAGATTAGTAAAACTGCATAGTTTGTAAGTGATTTGTTGAAAACTCAGAAAGAGGATATCGCTACTCACAGTCGCGAAATGTTACAGACGTTTTTATGGAAGGGGGGTGGGGGAGGGGGGACAATAACATTAAGGCGCTCCGTTTCCTGTGATGTCGACCGATTTTCCCTAACTTGTCCATGTCAAAAGTTGAAAAAAACCGCCGGTTGCTTTTTATATTTTCGGTTGTTTCCGAACGTTTATTTTCTTGTTCATTTAATATTAAGTTAGAAACAACTGGAAAAACAGACGTGAACTGTTCAGAAACTGAGATCTCGCCGGTTTTCGTAGGGCATTGACATATCGGCTTGTTGTTGTTGTGTTTTTTTCCCTACGGAGAAATCAAAATTCCTATGGAAGCATTTCACCTGGTGCCTTTGTGAGTTGCTCTAGTTTTGCGTAAATCTGTGCATTAATTCGTTTTCATGAGATTGGCGGAAAAAAGAGGATTTCTTTAGGAGAAAAATGAAGATCTGATGATTTCTAGTCATAGATTTTATTGCAACCGACTACATGATTAACAAACCTTTCTCCGTCGTTTTGAAATTATACATAAGGTGATATATTATTTATATGAAAATTAATATCTATTCAGTGCATCGGCCCTTTTGAATGCAAGCTAATTAAAAAAGATCTGTTATCGATTTCCATTTTTTCCCTGTGATTAGACAAGTACCTTCGAAACTTTTCAATTATTTTTTGACATCATTTAACTCTAAACAAAATTTACGATCGCATTTATCACTCTTACGCTGGTTTAGAGTTCGACTTGGCGACCCACATCTGCTTCCTTGCTGAAACTTGATCTCATAAATTTGAATGATACAAAGTGAAAAACGCCAATGGCTAAGAACTTTATTTCCTCCATAAACCAAAGAAGAGTTTAATTATTTCCGACACATTTATGTTGTTTTCGACTGAGCCAGTCAAGCCTCTGGCGGGAAAATGTTTTGACAGCGAAAGCTTTTCCGAGCATTGTTCTTTGTCCGGCAATGCAGAGCATTGGCGTAGTATACGGATGCTTAATATAATTGTTCTCTTCCATTCAAGTTTTTCCTTGTCTTTCTCCAAAAACGGCCTCGTTTAACTTAATTTGACTTTTCAAGCTCTGTAGACGGTTGTCATACACAGTGACAAGTTCATAAAGCATTTTAAAGCCACTCCTTTTTACATACAGTTGTAGTCGATGAAATCGTATAAGACGGAAATCAGTGGAAGATAAGGAAATAATGCTATTGAAATTAAAAAAGGAGCACTTAACCATCTTTTCGGACGACCTATGGATTATTTTCTAATTGATATTTTTAACTTCGACAATACTGATTCGAGTAAGGCTGAATTAAAAAAATTAAGGTTCCTTCTCTGTGTTTCAGTGCAATGAAGTATGAAGGATACGATTCTTGAAAATATAAAATTTAGTTCTCAAGGTGAAACTTTTTCTTTAGTTCTTCTCATCGCCGAAGGTTTATGCTAAATCACAGTTCTGTTGTATTTCAGTAAAGTCTATTCAAACGAAATTTCATGATTTATGCAAGTTTAGGTTAAATATTCAACTTGATTGTTTAAAATATTGGGTGTTTAATAGCCTGTACACAAACGATGTTTTATTTTTCTTTTCGTTCTTTTCGAAATTAGACATCGGCGAGCACGCGAGAGAAGCGAGCGAGAGCGAGGGCGGAGCGCGAGAAAGAAACAAATATTTTCTTCTTCCCCCACCCCTGCCTTCTTGCGCTGGCGTCAATAAATCCCCCGCGGTTTATTTTTTATCACGCGCGCTCAACGGACTTTGAAGAGAAAAAACAGAGGGTGGCTAGGTGTTTAATTTATAAGAATATGTACTTGAGCAATACTACAGCGATGCCTTTATTATTAAATTCCTTGGAAGGTTTTGATTCCTTAAAAGTGACCATTGA